AATAATTAGGCTATCATGGAATATTATCTATGTATCAATAATAAGATTACTACAGGATTTAAATAGATTGATCACAGTATATTGTGTGACAAAATTATCAATGCTTGTTTGTCTCTCTCTCTTGTCACGAGAGGAAAGACAGACAAACATGGACCTATTGGTTTTGGCTCAGGTTCCTCAGTATTTTCCAGTTGTGTTGCAACGATTTACTGTAATCAATCTTTAAGTCTGCCTTTTCACTAGGCTGGAGACACTAGTCAGCCACTAGATCTGTGCAAAATCACATTGTGAAGCACTTTACGTTTACACTATCAGGTCGCAGCGACCCACCTCGGCAGTAGCGACCCGGTCTTGAGAAGTTGTAATTTGTTTGACAGGTACACAGGTCTAACTTATGTTTGTCAGTCTTTCCTCTTGTCTCAAGACCGAGTCGCTACAGCCGAGATGGGTCGCTGCAACCTGATAGTGTAAACGTAAAGTGCTTCACAATGTGATTTTGCACAGATCTAGTGGCTAACTAGAGTCTCCAGCCTAGTGAAAAGGCAGACTTAAAGATTGATTACAGTAAATCGTTGCAACACAACTAACTGGAAAAGACTGAGGAACCTGAACCAAAACCCATTGGTCCATATTTGTTCAAAGGTTGACGGAAACTCTGTTAACTTGAATAATGTTGTTTACTTGCTAGATTTAGCTTATATATAGCAAAATATGACATACATAATTCAAATATAGACAGATATTTTTAATTTTAATCATACAATTAATAGACTCTTATTTAATGATACATTTAGGTTAGTACTTACACGCTGTATGCGCCGAAATGCTTGGAAACAGTGAACCATAGTCAAGTATTTTTATCATAACTGCTGATCCCATTATCATCCCATTTTGAAATTTTTATAATGTACTTACTAGATTACATTCTTTAACATATGTAATTTTCAAATTTTTCAAAAAACACTATCTTAAATTTTTTTTCAAAAACATATTTTGAAATTTTCAAAAAAAATTAATTTTTACCAAAGTAGGTTGAGTTTGGTATCAGATTAAAGGCATTTGAATCCTCTTTAAAATGAGCCATTGTACAACTTGAGAGGACCAATAGAACTCATCCTAGACGACATTTTAGATTTGCGCGCACGGTAAAAAACGCCAATTTTTACCATTTTCAAATATTTATATCATAAAAACTATAAAAGATAGATTTTTTTAAAAAGCATATTTGGATTCAGGACTCAAAATACTACAAGTATGCAAAATTTCATCAAAATCCAAGATGGTCAGGTTGAGAGCCTTGTTGATTTGATATGGAATGACCCTTTGACTCTATCGACTAAATTGAAGATCCGAATTTCGACGTATAACTTAATTACTATTTTATAAAACCTTTTAATTGAATGGGTAATATAATACTTCAGCCCCTTAAAATCGTGAATGGCATATACTTAGAGGTAAAAGAATAACATCTAATAAAACATTTTTTTCAAACAATGTTTTTATTTTTCAAAAGTATTAGATCTCAATTGAATCTCCATTTAACCCCAACACAATTGTACAAGTTACGTTCTACGTTAGGACAAGAGTTTTCATATTATTTATAGTATTTTTTGCCCCAAGCGAAGGGGCCCCCTTCAACTTGATCACCGCGGCCGTAGGTTTGTGTGAACGGCTTCATTGAAACTCAAACTGGTCCGTCACAGCCTAGCAGCTATGCTCGTGTAAACTAGGTCTAAGCGCGGGGCCCAGTGCAACCCTGAGGAAAAGTCCCTTAGAGTCAAGAATTTTGGTCCTAGTAATACCTTAAAATTCACCTAACAATAACCTTAAATATAGGATAACGAAAATAAAGCTGTTAAAAAAGAAGATCATTCGGTAAGTGTCTGATTAGTTTTCGAAGATATTAATAAAAACTACTGTGCAAGGGGCCCCTTCGGGGCCCCCCTAGGCCCGGGGGCCCCGGGCGCTCGCCCCGTCCGCCCCTAGGTAAGTTCGGCCCTGTATGGCAGAGACTGTACCGTTGGAGCTTATGAAACTTGGAGGTTATGAACCGCTCTGTTTATTTGATATTTAAAAGTTGGAGTTTGTGAAATTTGGACATTGTGAAACTGTGCTTATTTGAAAGTTATAGTTTTGGAGTTTATGAAGTTTGGAGGTTATGAAACACACTGTTTATTTAATATTTTAGACGTTGGACTTTGTGAAATTTGGACATTATGAACCTCACCCGTTTGCTGCTACGGGGAAGATGGTGAGATGTGTTTTTTCAATTGAAATATTGATAGCTTAGTATAAAATAAACCAAATTGCCAAATTTGATTAAAATATATTAGGGATGGACGAGATTGGATTTTTAGTTCGAGACGAGACGAGACGAGATTTTTTATTTCTCATAAAATTTCGAGACGAGATCGAGACGAGATTTCTCTTCTCATACACAACGGGAAATGCACGTTCAAAATTTTTACCTGATTTTGTAACATTGTTAGATGACTGTTTAAATACTAAAATAATGATAATAGGCAAGAATATTTACAATCTTTCATTAAATAACATCAGCATAACATTTTTTTATTAATCACGCCTAACTTATTAAAAATGCCTACGATTAGGAAACATGGTGATATCAGTTAGGATAGAGTTCAACTTATCCTAAAATAAAATGAATCATAAAATAAAAGCAATATTAATTTTTATAAAATAGTTACTTGTTTTGACTTTTTTTATAGTAATAAAACATTCCTCACACTGCTTACACTTAACAAAACTTCTTAAATGTTATTAAAGTAATATTATTAAAATAATGAAAGTAATATTTACATTAAAAGAATTAAAGTAATATTTACATTAAAAGAATTAATTAAATAAGAACGCCTTCGAAAAGGAAACGCAACTACAACACGCTCCTGTATTGCGGGTATTGCATTGACTTTCTGCAGGCGTTTTTAATTTTTTTTTTTTTTTTTTTTTTTTATTCTCGTCTCGATAAAAATCTTGGCCAAAAAGTAATCTCGTCTCGTGTAACGAGATTGAAAATTTCCCGAAATTTCGAGACTTGACCATCCCTAAATTATATCCATAAACAAGCAAACTAGAACAGTTTATTTGTTCTCCATAAGAATAACATGGGAATTTTAAATTTACAATTTTTTAAATTTTCTCCGTAGTCAATGAACATTCAAAAACACTTCAATATACTAAATTATTTGTTTTTTTAAGCTCTTCAAAATGGTCTAGAGAGAAATTTAGAAATTTTAAGTTTTTAGGGTCAAAAATGAGAAAAACCCATTTTTACCCCATAAAACCCCCCATAAACCCCTGATCCCATGGTCCGATTATGCTGGTTCGCGAACTCGTTTGAATAAATGTAGGTTTACACGTTTGTACCAAATTTCATCAAAATCGGATCAATTTTGCTCGAGTTATCGCGCTAACGGACACATATATAAATATATATATATATATATAAATATATATATATATATGAATTTGAACGGATGGTGTTTTTGGCCTCTGGGGACCTCAAAACGAAAAAGTAAATCGGTCCCGGGTCTAGGTCTTACCATGAGACCTACGGTAATAGCTTATTCCCTATATGGGAAATTCGCTAAAATGTCGTAACCTAACCAAATTAACCAAACTTGCTGATTGTGAAAAAATTGGATTAAGGTTTACTACGGACAAAATGAGAGCATTCTATTATAAAATTAAACTGTCATAAGCTAACCTAACTTGCTGATAATATAAAAAAATATACAAGATAAAAATTGAATGAAGATTAGATTTAACAAGGTTAGGTTTGCAGCCATGGAGAAGGTAAAAAGTTTTTTTGAGCATACGTCAATAGTAGGCTATAGGATAAAGTAAATAAGTTTGCCAAATTTTATCAAAATCTATCCATAAACAAATAAACTACATAGTTTGCTTTTTTAATAATCTAAAATATAGTTCTGTTCATAAAATAAAATTATAAATGCCTCTAATTCTAACGAAAGATGTGCAATTAAGAAGTAATCACATTCTAAGCTAAATCTTTGACAAAAAGTTCAATGATTTTTTAGTGAGAATAGGCTATAAAATTTGACACTTAAAATGTCAGCTAGTTTAAGATTTCAATTTGTAGTTCTGCCAATTAGGATCAATTAAAAATATATATATTTAAATTAATCTGCCGCTACTTGACTACTACTAATATTCCCCTAGGCCTATTGAGAAAAAATTAGCAAGTGAGAGACATTTACTATGTTCCTATTTAAATACATTAACCTGCCAACTTGGAGACAGGGTATTGTACACAAATTTTGTTGAATGGGGAAGAGACAGTTAATTGCTCTTAATTATGGTATGAGCCGCGAGGTAAATATATCTCCCATGGCTAAGCCTGCATTCATTGACAAAGTTTTCTTTTTACACCTCAAGGAAATCACGGTCAACAATGAAGGGTGTTGCTGGGATTGCAAAAGACAATCACGACACCGTCGAGACTGCAGTATAATATGCTCGTGAGTCTTGGCGAGATCACGGGAGATGATCACGATATAGCTGAGACCACCTGACCACACGTGTTTACGCAATCGTGGGAGAATATAATTGGTGTTTGCTATAAAAAATAATAATTTTCAAAAACGTATGCTGGCTTTCTGCTGGCTGGAATAAAACTGCACGAGGGCCGGATGTAGCCCACAGGCTGTAGGTTGGAGACCCCTTCGTTAGGCATTTTTAAGACCTATTTTTTTACTATACCTGTACTTTATAATTAAATTTGTCGATAAGGCATCGAGTTCTTGACAATAAAGAAAAAAGAGATGGATAAAACCGCAGATTAAGTTTTGCTCATTTGCATAGCCTGTCACTGAAAATTCACAATTTGAAAAGAAAACATCACAGTAGTTAGATGTCGGCCTAATCTGTTAATTATAATAAAATTTAAGTTCTATATTAGGTAATTAGATAAGCAATCTTTTCTTTAACCTAAATTATAAATAACACAATAAATTTACCTTGCATCAATCCTAAACTTTGCTGGGCGAAGCCAATTCTTGATTATAGTAGCAACAACATATATTTCCATTACACCACGATCCTAGTGTTCTTGCGTACCGGTTCTGCCTCTGTATAAAAGAGATTAGTATTAGCACTAGAATTTGTATATATTTTAATTTTCCTGATCAACACCCAGGATAGCCTACAACTAGGTACACATATTAAATTGTTAGTGAAATCTATTTTATATTTTGATGGCATTTGCTTCTTTTGAGTAGCCTTGTTAAAGCTAAATCTAAATCTGAAAATTGAAAATTTTGACCTAGGTAGTGGTAAAAGTAATCCTCAGTCACTTGAACGGACAAATATTGGGGTGAGCACTGACTGAAATGAGTGCAACGGTCGGATGTAGTTTGGTGTGTGTATAGGCCTATGTGTGCGTTTAAAAAAATTCAACTAATACAGTTTTCTTTTACACAAGTTAGCACTGCCGGAATATTTATATAGTGTAAATCAAAGACTTCCTATATAAGTGGGTCACAAAAAAGAGAAACTCTCTTAACTGTGTGATGAACCTTAGGCTACGTTATTACCCAATAGGTAGGCTACCTATCATGAATTAGGTTGTGTTTTGGTGGTAGAGCCTAACTTATCTACAGTTCCTAAGAGAACCTGCGATATATTATCGGACGGTATATATATCTGATTTGATATTAATATTGCAAAACCAATTCACCAAATCTGCAAATCATAACTCAATTTGATGTTTACATAGTGAAAAAACATAGGGAACGATGTATTGAATCGGATAATTATTGATATATAATATTATTCATCCGATAATATATCGCAGGTTCTCTGCGGAACTGTACCCGTTATGGCAAAAAAGACATAGGCTACACAGTCATGGCGAATCAAACAGAAAAATTGAAATAAAAACACCTAAGATTGAAACTTTATTTTAACTTTGAGAAAACCTAATTGAAATATGTATGTCTACCTATTATTAATGTCTGATTGTAAATAAAAAAAAAAAAAAATTACGCAAGATAGCTGGCTTCAGATGCAGATTGCAAAAGAAAAATTTATTCCTCCTTCCCAGCCTACAGGCTGCTAGACAGCCACTTTGTCACTAGGGAGAATTGGTACCGTAGGCAAATTATTCACTGCTACCAAATAATAACTTCCACCAAAGCTGCAGAGTTATCAACTGAAACAATGGAGAGAAAACTACTTTTAGTTAAATTCATGCATACCTTTCTCTGGCCTAAATATGTATCAAGATTAGTTAGGCCTAATCATTGGTTGGTAAAGGAAGCATACAACAACTAAAATACAAAAGACTAAGAGACAATACAGGGGTAGACTTTCGTATCTGTTGTCAAAAACAACCGAATGAAAATATCGATCGTTATAGCCTATGTTCATTCAGTTGTTTTTGACAACAGATACGGAAGTGTACCCCAATTCAGTTTAAAAGGAAAATGGATTTCAAATAGGCTAGGCTATTTCTTTTATAATACCGGTAAATTGTAACCTGGTTGAGGTAGAATATGTTAGGCCTAGGCTAGCCTAAATTAAGTTAACTTATTCTTGATGGTGAATTTACATAAACTTAAGTTAGTGACTGACGTAAAATATAACCCACATAACTTAGTAATATTTCAAAATTAGCCTAACAAGGTATTACAACACAGTATGGTATTCCATTTGCCTTGTAAACCAGTAAGTTAGTCCTACTTACCTACTAGCCTATATATTGAACACTATTATCATCCGGAAGTTGCCCTTTGAAGCTAAATAAACTACTGGTTCAGCAAGAACTAAGCAAGCCGCCTAACTTAGTAGCTTACGCCTAGGCCTAATTAGTATGCAGAAAAATACTTCCTCTAAAACAGATTGCCTATTTTGAGGTTTCAGATTTATCTATTTTTATACTTAAGTTAAGGCATTAGGAATGATAAGTTGGCCAATTTAATTTGTACAGTAGCTTAACTTAGGTCTAGGTAAGGCCAAGGCCTAAAATACGTCTATGTTACTAGGTATAGTGACTTATACTTACATACTCCAAGGATCAAAACGTGAAAAGATGTTCGGTGTAGGTTATTCCAATACCCAGTCACAAAAATAACAACTCTAAACTAACAGTGGCACACACTAAACAAAATATCAGCACACTTAAGTTGACTGATTTGAGGTTATGTCTTGTTCTTGATACTCTTGTTGCTTCCATAGTTTATTTTCACTACTGTACTTGTGTAGCCTACTCAACAAGTTAGTTGTCATAGGTACATTTTACATAAATCGTGTACTTTCCCTCAAAATGGCAATTTGTTGGCCAATAAATAAATAAATCCACACCGTGAGTAAACTGGCCACCACTGGTCGCGCGACGGATTTTGTAATTTGTTTTGTATTGTAATGAAATGTTTTGTTTTGTTTGCTGAGTTAGGTTAGAATTAAGTTGGTGTTTTGTCTTCAGTCTTCCTCTCTTCCTTTCATACGAATGGGCCAAGTCAAGCTCAAACTAGATACTTAACATATTTTTAGAGTTATATTACACTAAAAAAAATTTAAATTTACGTTTGGTTTAATTTACTAGAAAATAAAATGATAAGGCCAATCGTTAAGAGTTTGACTTTTTTATTAATAAACAAAACTTTTAAAAAAGCTGTGTTTCCTATTCACTCTTCTTGAAATGTGTAGTAAGCCTAGATTCAGAAAAATATCAGATGTTCCAACAACTCCCCCCCCCCGCGAAAAGTCAAAATCCATCATCAATTAATTAAAAATTACAGTGTTCAGTGTTCCTTCCTATTATTAATTATTTTGAGATAATTGACCTCCGACCTCCATGTTACAAACTGGGGCCCATTTCATAATAAAGTACAAACTAATATTATTAGTAAATCAGCTGACTGCCCAATGCAAATCTAATGGAAATAACAAGTTACAAGTTGTAACTTGTAACTTGTAGTTTATTATGAAATGGGCCCCTGTAGGCTGGGGACTAATTCTTTACTCTAAAAAATTTAAAAAGTTAAATCTAAAAATTTTTAAAACTAGTATATTTGGACATTTTCAAAGAGAAAATCAAATTTTTAACATTAAGAATATTTAGATAATATTCTAAATTTGATGTTATTTGACTTTGATATTTTGAAGATACAATAAATATTCAAAGTTTGACATTGTTTGACTTTGACATTTTGAACATTAAATGAATATCAAATAAATATCAAATTTTTGATTTGACATAGTTTGATATATTGAACGTTAATTTGATATCAAATAAATATTCTGTGCTATGTGGGCTCTGTGATGCGGTAGTAGACATCCGTAAAAGGTGTTTGCATCAAATCCACTCACTTAAAAAGTTACAAAATCTCTTGTCTTTGCACATAAAAGTGTTTCACCTGGTTAAATCGATTGTTTTCCCCCACTTCACTTACTACAACTATGTGATCATTGATGACTGTAAACCTCGCTGATGCTCTCCAACGCGCTCAGAACTACTGCCTAAGATTCATTTATTATCTAAGACGCAGTGAGTGCATCACCCGCCCTTTCTACATTCATTCTATGTTATTAAAGCAGTGACCTGAGATCAATCAAAATTCTTTCGTTCACCTATTCAATATTAAAAAACAATTTTCCAAAATATTTTGTAGATGATTTTAGATTTTGTAGCTGAAGAAAGTGTTAGATACTCACGCCATGCATAACTTTACGTATGTCTCAATCACCATAGGACCATAGTTTACGACGGAGCGTTTGTTGTAACTGCTTGCCGTTGGAACGATCTCACCCTTTTTGGGTTTCTGATTGTTTAATATAAAAATTGTTTTATTTTCCTGTTCAATTATTCCTTTTTATGACAATTTGTATTGTTTTTAGTGAATTTTCTATTTAGGGAATAAGCTATTACGATAGGTCTCGTGGTAAGACCTAGACCCGGGACCGATTTACCTTTTCGTTTTGAGGTCCCCATGCAGAGGCCAAAAACACCATCCATTTCAATTAATAATAATAATAATAATAATATATAAATAAATATAAATATATATATATATATATATATATATATATAGCCTATATATTATATGTCCGTTAGCGCGATTACTCGAGCAAAAATGATCCGATTTTGATGAAGTTTTGTACAAACGTGTAAACATACGTTTATTCGAATGAGTTCGTGAACAAGCAGAATCGAGAATCGGACTATGGGAAGGGGGATTTATGGGGTGGGGTTTAATAGGGTAAACATTTATTTTCCCCATTTTTTATCCTAAAAACACAAAATTTCATAATTGACCTTTAAACAATTTTATAGAGCTTAAAAAAAGAAATCATTTTGTTTATTGAAGCATTGTTACAGAGATAATTAAAAAAAATTTCAAAAAATTACCACGTTATTTTTATGGAGAATAAATAAACTGTTAGTTGTAGTTTGCTTGTTCATTGATATATTTTAATCAAATTTGGCATTTTGTTTAGTTCATACTAAATATCAAGATCAAGCTATCAACATTTCGATAAAAAAACACCCCTCAATATTTTCTCCGTAGCAGCAAACCTATAAGTACTTTCTAAAATTAATGTTATTCAAATAGGAAATAGATCTGAGAATTTTTAGGGAATATTTTAGTAGAAATCAAGCTGAGAAAATGGAAATTCGTTTAGTCTGCAGGTTTGCTGCGACGGGGGTATTTTTCTCTCTAAGACTAATCTTTGCTAGTCTGGTAATAAGATGTAATTAAAGGCTGAATAAATTACAATTGCCTATGACTATTTTTTGTCGTGAGTATCCAATATCTCCGTGGATAACAATACTTAGTATTGACAAAGATGTTGATATAAACTTGTATGCAAATTATAAAGAAACGTGGACATAATCAATGGATTTGCATTTTCTATATTCTTCGATCTCATTGGTCCATCGGTGATCAAAGTTGCACATTTGCTGGTTGACATTTTGACAGCTCCAGTGCTCTACCTAAAAAATTCTGTTCTGTTTGTTTACTTTTCCTTTACTTAGCTTTTTCCTTTCGAATTTGAAAGTTAAAGTTAAAAGTGCTGTGTGTGTTTTCGTTTTCTAGTGTGATGATTAAGAAAAACGAGATTTCTATTCTAATACAAAGGTTTTGAAATTTACGAAGTTCAAACTTCTAGTTGTACACTTTAAAGTTGTAGATAGTTATTAAAATTAGAGATGATGAAGTTAATGTTCAGTTAGTAGTTCAGTTATCGTTATCACTAATCCTCAGTCTAGCCTATATCTTGGGTGTTTATTTAAAAACTGACGGGATTGTATTTTAACGCGGGACATTTAGCCTATTCTGAAAGCTTTCTTTTTTTTAAGAATGACTAAGCTACCCGAGTTCATCTTATTATTTATCGTAATATATTTATCTCAAATCGCTTTTTGCATAAGAAAATGGGAACACAAGAGTCTTAAAAAACTATCCAAGTCAGAAGTTCAAATTAAAACTTATCTATTCCCATGTTCTAGTGACAAAGATATTTTAAATTTTACTTTTAATCATAGGAATCATCGTTTACACAATTGTAAGAGAAAGTTTGTGATAAAATTGACTGTTAACTCTGGAGGAGAGGTAAGTCTAAATCAAGTTAATTAACTTAACCTAACTTATATTTATTTCAATTTTATCCTAACTTAGTTTTACATCTTAGGCTAGCAGTCAAATCATTACCTAATGCAAATAAAAACAATCAACTAACATACTAGCCTATTCAATTGGACTACCTACTTTAAAATACCCAAGTTAAGTTACTTAAAAGCTTATACTGTGCAATGTACAAGTGAAGCTAGCCTAATGCCCATACGTTCCTCTCTCTCTCAACCCATGGTGAAAGGTGCCATCCTCTGTAATTTAAGCAAAGTCCAACTACCTATATTTCTTACCTTAGCTTATATATTACCTTAAGTAGCTTATATTCTCAGTGTTTAAACTTAGGTGAATTGGCAATTGTAGCCTAATCTGATTAATTATCCTTGGCTTAGGCCTACCTCAGCCCTTCTTGGTGTCTGCTTAACTTAGGTTACTGCCTTGACTCTTGACAGTACTAGACATTCTAACTTATCCCTAGGCTATGTTAAAGTTGTTTCTTGTTTTTAAATCAAAATGGACGTATGGTGGATACAGTTCCGCAGAAAACCTGCAATAGGTAGCCTATGTTCTCAGTGTAGGACTAAACTGACGTTGTCATAGCAACGCATTTAAAAGTTATAGTTAGCCTAGTCTGGTTTCGTTTGGTGGTATCGCAGTCTCCGTTTGGTTAAAGGCCTTAACTGATGTACAGCTTTCACATTCCACCCGCAAAGATTTCTGGTCAGCGAGTTCACGGTTTAGAGCGGTGATAGTTTCCTCAAGTTTTCTGATTGTGTTAGACTGCTCCACATCATAATCTTCGTAAAACACTTGCTCCTTTTTCCTGAGACTGGATTCCTTTTCTAGCTGGTTATCTTTTTCACTTACAAGTGTCCTATGCATCTTTTCCAATGCTTTATTCAATCGCTCGTTTTCTGCCAACAGGCTTTCCGTTCTGGCCTCCAAACTCAGGATAGTAGCAGACAAAGAATTCATTTTCCTTCATTAATTTGGTCTTTTAGTAAAACAGATCCCAATTCTGCTGCAATTTTCAAAGAGTGCTCGTTATCCCCAATTTCGGCCCTGTCTAAGTCTTTAGGCCTAAGATCAGATTCAATTATCTCATCCAAAGTTCTATTTAAGTTTTTATTTACACGTCTTTTTTAAGAGGGTTGTTCGACCTGTTTCTAGTGTTTGAAAACTTTAAGTCAATCTAGGGAACAATGTGGACAATGCCACTCGGAATATCCTTTTGGTTCATTACAAATCTTCTTATTAATGATCATCCATCATACCCATGCAAGTTACATGATAATAAGACGAGCAGTCTCCCCCTTGCACAAAACTGCACGATCCGATTTTTGGACCTCAACATCACACAAGGGACAGTGTGTTCAGTTTCTGAATTAAAACTATTTCTAGGTTTAATATTTTCATTCTTTAATACTGTGTCATGTCCTTCATTCTTGATGGTTGGCGTTCTTCTATACGAGTAATAGTGCTTCTTGTACATAGTACCGCTTCCTGTTTTGTTGATTAGTTTGTTTAGGCCTAATTGCTAAGGGTCTACACTTGTTGTTTGTCAGTTTTTCTGTTGAAAGACTGTATTTTAATTAAGTATAAAATTAAAAAAAACTTTTTAGGTAGGCCTACCTAAGTTAACTGTTATAACTTACTAACTAAGTATTAGCAGTTTTGACTATTTACAACAAAGCTGTGAAATGTCAGAACTTAGTTAAATGTTTCCATCAACGTCACTGTCGTACTGAGGAGACCTATATTCTGATGTTTCTCTAGCATTAATAACTGAGGAAGCCTTACTTCTAATAAACTTAATGATCTTTGTTTAAGTACTCATACAAAACTGATGGGTTCATACCAATTGACCATGTAATAGACGGGGTGTCTGGCAGGAAGAAAAGGCTTTTGAATCCATTCATGGTTAGATTGAAGAGAGAGAAAATGTACCAGCTCTACGATTTACAACTAGTTAAGGTAAGGGAGTGTAGGGGATCCTTAGGGGTTTACGCATACCTACTGATTAACTTTGTTAAAAAAAATGTAATCCAAAGCCTAGTTTCCTCGATCTCACTCGGGTGATCTGCTGGCATGATGTATTTTGTGAGGGCATGATCTCAAGCCGAAGGGGGTTAACTCACTTTAGTTAAGAGTACCGTAGTGATGTGGGCCGGGAATATTCCCAGTTGGAGGTAACTCATAAAATGGGAATATTGCCGGGAATATTTCTTAGGGCCGGGACCGGAAAGATTCCCAAATATTGGAAATTTATAAAAATTTAAAAATTTTGAATCTTTTAACAAGTGTTGACAGTTAAAGAAACTTAAAACTATGATAGGGCCTACCTAAGTAAATTCATTCATTTTCATCTAAGTAAAAGTTGTCATTCCATGCATTAATTTTTTGTATGAACAAATTGGAATTTATGAATCTGAATGGATTTTAATTCTTGAACTATTATCAACAACTTGAGGTATTTATATACCTTAAATAACCTTGTATTATTATGTGGTTATTTATATACCTTAATATAGGATTTAAACATCCTTTGGTATAACATATTCATAAGAATTTATATTTAAAAATTCCCTGTTTCTTTATGTTTTCCAGCTTTACAATTTGGCATTGTAAAGGAGTCAGGCCCACAACCTTCAACACTGCCAGAAGGTTGACTAGAACTAGTACATAAGTTTTAACAAACAAAAGGGGAATTAAAGTTAAATAGAATAGTAAATTAATTCTATAAATTTTAACCATTGAAAATCAAAAGACTTTTACTAGGTGGCGTTCACAGAGGCATCCACAAAATTGAGCGGAGTCATCAAGGGTTCATATTATATTGTTTTTGTCATACTGCAGTAAAAACAGTCGTTTTTAATGCATGTGTTGCATTAAAGCTAACCTAGAACTTTAGATCGTTAGCTAAAGTAGCATTTTTACTCTTTAGGGAGTAAAAATGGTTTTTAGCCTCTATGGAGTAAAAATCAGCTGTTGTCAACTTAGTTGTAAATTTATATTGTAAACGATTGTATGTATCGGAAATATGTATTGATTCGTGCTTCATAATCATTTTAACCTATAGTTTTAAGTGAAAACAACATTTGTGTGGATATAAATAATAGGGTAATTAGTTTGGCTACACATTATTTTGTAGTGAAGGGGAGTAAAAACACAGAGATGTCATTTTAGGCCTTTTCGGAAGCCTGCATTTACATTTCAAGTTAAAAACCTCTGGGATGGTCATTATCTTACGCAGAACTGCGCCTTGGGTCTGACTCCATATATTCAAGCCCCCGTGCCCGTTGGCTTTTTCGAGCCATCCGTATACCAAGTGATCTCCCTTTTCATGTATTCAGGTTCACCCTTGTCCCAGGCATCCCTGTCAACAATGTTGACATTGTATGATTTTTCTAGATCTGTGATCTTCACCATCCTGTCTGGTAGCATTTCCAAGGTGTTCATCTGCACCTTGTCCACAATTCTTGTATTATACTTCCAGTTGCTACTGCAAGCCATTCTTTAGGCTGCCATCCTTGCCTCTCCTTTCTCAATAATGTCGGAGAGGTGGCAGGTTTAGCACTACTTTCAGGGCTGCTGTTGGAGTGCCTCTCATGGCTCCTGTGATGCTAAGGCATGCCACTCGCTGGATCTTTTGTAGTCTCTTTACAGCGGTAGTTTGCATTACCTTGGTCCACCAAACCACCGAGCCATACACCATCATCGTTCTTGCAACCCTAGTGTATAGCCAGTTAGTCATTTGTGGGTATAGACCCCAGTTCTTCCCAACAGTCAACACACATAATGGGCAGTCCCATCATCATAAGTGTGGTCTGAGAGCGCTGCGTTATATGTGCCAAATGGCTGTTCCAGGTGAGCTTGTCGTCCAGCCTTATTCCTAGGTACTAGAACTCCCTCTTAACCTGGATCTGATTACGAGAGTTGGTACTCTAGCGATATCAAAATTTCTCTTCCTTGTAAATGGTACCAAAAATTACGGTCTTCATTGGATTGCACCACCTCTCCACTATGGACAATGCCCTCTGCATGAGTTCCAGACAAGTGTTCATAAATTTTCCTCTTATAAGGACAACAATATCGTCAGCATATCCGTGAGCGTACTTGCCCTGTGCATTGAGCTCGGACAGGAGATCGTCAACCACCAGGTTCCACAGATTTGGTGACAAGACGCCACCCAGTGGACACCCTCTTTGGGCCTTGCCTCTCTCTCCGTCCCACTCAGAGAAGCTTGCGCTCTCCTGCTTTCGAGCATGTTGCCTATCCACCTCACTACAGTGCTTTCCACATTTCTTGACACCAGCTTTGATACAATAGAGCGAGTACTAGTGTTGTCAAAAGCTCCTTCTATATCAAGAAATGCAGCCACCGCTATTTCCTTATTCAAGATAGCATTTTCAATCTTGCTTTTCAACCAGCGCATGCAGGGCTGTTTCGCATGACTTTCCCTTCTGATAGGCGTGTTGGTTCGGATGCAAAGGACGGCTTACAAGAACCCTACCCTTTATTCGTCAATCCACTAATTTCTCCGTGGTCTTCAGGAGAAATGATTGGTCTGAAAGCCTTAGGCACAGCAGTTTACTGTGCTGTCTCCTAACTTTGGAGACCAATCTCTTAAGCTGCATGATTATTGGACCATTGATCAGACAGTTTATTTCTGTTCTTGTCTTCTATGCTCAAAACCAGTAATGAGGTTTTTCGGTTCTTTGGTCAGTGCCCAAGTCTCTGAACCACACAGACTGGGATAGTTATGGTATGGTATGAATCTATTTTGGTTTTTACTGGCACCCTGCAGCTTATTGGACAGTTTTCTAGAGACCTGCTACACCGGTTGATATTTTCCAATTAAAATTTTGGTATGCCGACAAACACACATTCCAGCATCAAGAAAAAGAAGTATCAAAACGCAAATCTTTTATAGCTTGAACGATTAAGCAATAGTTTGGTGCTTAAAAAATATTTCCCAAATATGAGTTACAATTTTGAGATCATAAACTTATAGCCTATTACTTAGCCTACTTACACAGATTGCAATTACGACAAACTTAATTACGCATATGAGATGTATCGTAAAAAATTACACTTCTCCTGATAACGTAGATCCTTTACGGCAGGAAAAAAACTACATTACCGGTATCAACTGAAATAGTATTAGGCAAACACTGACTATCAATATTTTTGTAAACAAATAACCTTGTAACATAAACACTTAAATAACAGTTAGAAACCAGCTGTTAATTAAACCAGCTCTGAAACAACTTATAATTGCTATCACCGGCTACTATACTTAAAAAAATTAAATCTTTATTTCTAAAAACTGAAATCCTAAGACAAATTTGGCTATGACATCCCTTCCTTCCTAGATTATCTTTCTTTTGACACAAATATCATGAAAATCTGTCAAGTGGTTTATTCAGAATCGTGAAATAAAAAAAACCCTCTTGTTTGTTTTAATATATAAAATGGCATAACTACAACATTAGCCTATTGTTTTAAGATTGTTGATTAGATTTATTCAGACATTAAATTGAAACTGAACATTTGTATTCTTTTTTATAGAGTGTTAACGCTGAAGCCAAAGAAGAAGTGATAAATTATGAGAATACACCAAATTACACTGGATGTGACACATCATCCTCTCATCCGACTTGTGGCTTCAGCTTTTACAATAACAAGATAATACAGTTCAGCGAAGTAAGTAAAACAAAAAATAAAAAAAAAAAAAAATAAGGAGCTGTATTTTTTGGAGTGATCCAATGTTGTATATTGCAATATTAATTTAAAATAAATGCAATTATTTTAAAGACAAACATAAAAATATAATATAGGCCCCTAATTTATATTAATAATGGACCACAAAATGTTTTTCAAGTGCAGTGAGCCGCCAGTCTATTTTATTACGTTGTAACATTAAGCTCTGTGGATAATCTTAATTCAATTTCACCCTTGCTATAGCAAACCTGCAAATGTTTAGCTGCTTATTGAGTTTTTTTCAGCCTCATGATAAAATTAATGTTATAGCTACAGGACTATCCACTGTCATTACAGGCCTAGTATAAATATAATCAATTCAATGAAAACTACAAAAGGAACCCTGCCCCAACAAACTTGTAAGACTCAAATTTCCATTTCTAGTCTGATGGCTTTTCAATAAATTATTTGGTTAAACTAGTCAGATTTCCTATTGAAAAACATAAGGTTAAACGAGTAATCAGTTTTGCTAATACAGGGATCAGCATTGTACGTCTTATTTACTTTACCTAGGATAAAATAAATAAATTTGGAAAATTTGATCAATATTGTATCCTCTCTAATCCGAGCTTTGTCTGTTTGTCTGTCTGTCTGTAATAGCACAGAAAACGGACTACTATAACCCAGAATGCCAACCGCATGGTAAAAAGCATTAAGTGTTTTGAGAGAGCTTTGCCTGTCAATCCGTAGGCAGCGCCACCAGCGTTGCTATGCTATTGCATGTGCAAGTTGCACTTAAACTTTTAAGCATGATTATAAAAATGTATCTTATTTTTGTTTATTACATACATACATGATACATGATACATGATCTCTCCGTCCGTAGTCCTTTGCCTTAAGGAATTGGACAGGTCAGGGTTTGCATACTTTTACATTACAAAGTTGTTATTATTTCAGTGATCAAATGTCTATAATTTCTATTAAAAATGTTTTTTTTTTGTAAATTTATAAATTGTCTGTTTAAGATATTGTTTTAACTATAACACCTAATTAACTACAACCAAGCAAGGTGTCTTTCCTTTTACTACACCCCTAAACAAGCAAACTACAACAGTTATATTTTTCTTCATAAGAATTGTTTTGCTTAATTTTCTTTGTAAATGTTTAATTTTACAACCACGCTTCAATATACAAAATTATTTTTTTTTCAAGCTCTACATGATGGCTGTAATGAAAATTGGGTATTTCCATGTTTGGGGAAAAATATGTACAAAACAATTATTAAACATTTCAAAACTCTATAGTACCCCTTTCCTGCTGGTTCGCGAACTCATTCAAGTTTATCCCACCCTTCAAGCCAAATTTCATTAAAATCGGACCAAAATTATTTAAGTTATCACTTTAAAGAACATAGGTATATATAGGCCTATATATATATATATATATATATATATTATATATTATAAGCCTATAACAATTTTAACAAATAGTGTTTTTGGCCTCTAGGGACATCAAAATTAAAAACTATATCGGTCCCGGGTCTAGATCTTACTGTGCCACCTACGGGTAATAGCTAAAACAAAACCCCTATAGCTTTTTCTACGGTTTTCGCTATTTCCCTTGAGGGAAATTCACTGAAACAAATAGTTTTTATCCCAAAAACCCTATTTCTCATAGTTCAATCATCCTGGTTTGCAAACTCATTTGAGTAGGCCTAAACATAGTTTTAAGCATGTTTTTAGAAATTTCATTAAAGTGGGATTATTTTTCTCAAGTTATCGTACTAACAGACACACACATGTTTGAACATGTATAGGATACCAATGATGTTTTTTGACTCTGGGGACATCAAAAGGAAAAAGTAAATTTGTTAACATGAGACCTTTGGTAATTGCACATTCCCTTTAAAACGGGAAATTCCTTAAAAAATAAAATGTTGTTTTTATTCAATTTTCGAATCTTACAGCTATTGATAAAGATGTATAAACAGCCAATCCACATCTTCAATCCATTCTGCTAGGATCACACCAAAATAGATCACAGCTTTCTATCTTCTTATGTAAATTCACAATTCACAGTAATGACAAATAGTATTTAGAAAAAATGTTTGTACAAAATATAAAATAACCACTTACAATATTTGGACAAGGCTTCGTTGCAAAATTTGTACTTCTGTGAAGGTTGGTGTGCAATATGTTTGATTTAAATTTCATCAAATTGAAAAATCTTTTACAAAACTTATCATGCCTACAGACAAAATAGACCATTATAGGTAAACTAACTAAACGACCATTTAATTAAATTTAATGATTTAGAAAAACTTGAAATTAAGAACTAAAAAATTTTTTTTTATGAACAAAAACTCTATATAAGCTCAATTTTATATTAACTGGCCACTACTTTTTGTTTTTTCCTCAAGGGATTTTGCTGTTCTTGTGATCAAAATAAAAATGACCTAAGGCAGCCTTGTGAAAGTCATACACATGAAATTAAAGACTTTCCAGATATGGAATATGCTGTTCATCGCCCCAGAAGCAACCGAACTAGTAGGGCCTTAAAAACTGCAGAGCACCAATCAGACTCATCAAAAACAACTAATCATTTAATGGAAAATATAACTTTAAAAACACATGAAATGGAGCAATATCCGGATAAAAAGCGTACATACACAAACAGTCCTTCAAATATTGATGTAGATTCAGAAGAGAAAGATAATGAAAGTCACTTGCAGAAATATATTTCAACAAAACCAAATGAGAAAATGGAACTGCAAACCCCCATACAGTTGAAAAAGTCTGCTTTTGATGACCATGCTGGTTTTAAGGGTAATTTAAATGAATACTTTGCTACTCTCAAAGATGCTGAAGCTCCAAACACCCCTAGTGACAAAGAAAATCTAAAATTACTTGTTATGAAAAGAATAAGAAATGACAAAACTAAAGAAAGATCAATGTTTCATGATCCATTCAATATAACGGGACCAGGCAGCAGAAAATGTCCAAGAAATGTGCAATCAAATTTAAACACTATAAGATTAAAAAACCATGGCTATGGCAAAAATGGGTTTTCTTTAAAAATTGAGAATGATGACAACGAGCTGAGGCTTCAAATTGTTACAAAAACACCAAAAATTAATTCTTCGGATCAGAAATCTAGATTTGGGTTACAAGTACATAGACCTACTCCCAAAAATTCTTTTACTGAATCTCTACCCCTGGTTAACAACACAATAGGTGATATTGAACAAAAAATATTCAGTTCTGAACATACAACAAAAGGACTGAAAGAGCGTTTGGTTCAAAATTCTATCCTTAAACATTTAACATTTTACAAAAAGAAAAATACTACATCAGACAATCAAAAACTTCACCAAAGTTCTCAATCAGAAGAGGAAATTTTCAATATGGCAACAAGATGTGTAACACCACTAATTTTAAACAACAATAAAAGTGTATTGTTGCACTCAAATAATGTAAACAAGCCATCTGCTTATGTTCTTGATGAATGCAATCACAACTCCACTAATGCCTCAAATGTTGAAGGCTTCTTACATAAGTTGATTCCAATTATGAATACAGTAAACCAATTAGAGACTAAAGGTTTTGAAAACAGCAAAACAGGTAGTGGACTTTTGAAAGACTCTGATAATGCAACATACAAAGTTTACATAGAGTTGAATAAGGAATCAGATGTTATTAAACTTTTGAATCAGGAAAAATCTGCTCTACCTAAACAATACTCAGATTTGATTGAAAATAAACTGAATATCATTGATCAGAAAGATGTGTTAAAATCCACCAAAAGAGGTTTACCAGACAAACATAGCTATGCAACTTCAGACAATGAGATTGACAAAGAGTCATTAGGACCAAGAAATCATATGGAAAATGATAACATTGAACAGGACATACAGAAAAGAGAGACATGTGAGTCACAGTTTAGAGGTGGACAAAGCTGTTCAAATAAGGGACCAGAGCTACCTTGCAATGCTAATCCTGAAACCTATTTTGAAAGTGCTCATTGTCTACGTTTTAGTGATTTATGGTAAGTATTTATATTAAACTAGCTGTACCCGCGGGCTTTGCCCCGTTTAACTTCATACTTGAGCTCGTTCGCATGGCCCAATCACGTCCTGGTTGAAGTTCGTTCGCTACGCTCACTCACCTTTAGGTTGGAGCTCGTTCGCTGCGCTCACACGTCCTGGTTGAAGTTCGTTCGCTACGCTCACTCACCTTTACGGTTGGAGCTCGTTCGCTGCGCTCAATTGCCTTCAGGTTAGCTCGTTCGCTACGCTACCTCGCCTCCGGGTTGAAGTTCGTTCGCTACGCTCACTCACCTTTTGGTTTCAAATTAGCTGTTGTCAAATATTTAAAAAAATAATAGTGCTGCACTCTGTTGGTAATCCTTGTAACTTTAATGCTATTGAATATCATAGAACAGAACCAACTTGTTTAATTGAAACAGCTGTTATGATTCATTAATTCCATTTAAATATGAGTACTCATTAGGTTAACATGGGAAACTCCAGAGCCACTGGGGCGGAGCCCGAGAGTCCGATCAGAATAAAAACCACTTAGTTTTCCTATTTAATGCCTAAAGAATCAGTGTACCAAATTTCAGCCTCCTAGGTAAGTGGGAAGTGGGAGAATTAGTGATGAGTGAGTGAGTGAGTCAGTCAGTCAGTCAGTCAGTCAGTCAGTCAGTGAGGGCTTTGCCTTTTATATATATAGATTACATTTGTTTGAACTACAAGGGCATGACAGAAAATAAAATGTTGTTTTCCTCTTAAGCCACAAGATGTTCTAAGGTAGAAAGGTGCTGTATCAGAATATTCGCTAGATCCCATGAGGGAAGGATGATGCACAGCTAAAAACTTGTGCTCATTCAAAGTTATAACCCTGTCCTAAATCTTTAGGCACATCCTTCATGTTACTGTATTAGAGATAAGATAGTCGTCAACGGCAATAGAGTAGACATGGGAACACTATTTAAGATTAAATATAAAAACATCAAGGCTTTAAATTTAACAAAACAAAGCTGATTTGTTCCAAACTCAGACAAGCAGTTGAACTCGGCATACCTTGCCTGTAACTGTATAATTGTTGGGGTTAATCAAAACCAGGGGCTGTAAGTTTCCCATGACTGTACTGTAATTATTGTAAGCTCAACTCTGCAGTAACACACTTACACCTCTACCGTAATTTACACTTTCACCTCAGACCTCTCTTGAGTTGCATAAAACATAAGCCCAGCTGATTATTATTGGGCTAGGCACTTGTTAAAATCCAATCTCAGTGTTTGAGTTCCATGGGTAAATTTGATCAGTCGTTAGCCTAACAATAATAAATACCCAAATATAAACAAAGGACACCCTGCTTAAGGCTTGGACTTGACTTGCTATAGAACTGAAGACAAACTAATCAACAAACTCTCTAACATGGTTTTCATTAGATGTAAAAGGGCTACTTGAAAAAAATTCCTAATTGTCAATTTTGCTAAACTAAGCAAAAGGAGTATCCACAACTACACTAAATTATATTCAAGCGACAACATTTTAATGAATCATTTTTAGGCTTACAAAGAGTCAGTGTAGAACTAAAAAAAAAAAAAAAAAAAAAAAACAGTATTCCAAGTTCTAGCACAACCCTTATAAGTACTGTAACAGCTGAACCTTGATATAGCTCAAAATGAACAAAAACCATTCTATGTTTTAGGTTTAATGTGTTCAAACTGTTAAATCCTCGTTTGGAAAACTCAATTATGGTTAAATTATATGCAAAACACAAAACATCTGACAGAAGAGTATGTTGGGAAAATCTCTCTAAGAGATTGCCAGGAAGGTCAGTTAATAAACTTTAATCAGTGTGTAGACTATGACAATATTATAGATCTATAGTCAAGAATTTGGTTTTGATGGTACTCTTGCCGTTTATCCTACAGATACATACAATTATAGTGTTTATTCATACTCTATAAAAAATGTACTCTGTAATATCCATGCTTTAATTCATAAATAGTGGCAATAATTTGTGTAAGAGTCTTCAATTCCAGACATTATTAGTCTGAATTGATAAAAGTAAGACAAAGCTCTGGGTATCTGGAAGTTTTGCATATATTTGCAGCCTACGTTATTTTTTTATATAGGCAGTGAAAAAATCTGCAGTGATATTGTTTACTACTGCTTCTCTGTTTATGGTTATTGGTTATATATCACTGGAGAAGTCATAGGGCAGATACAAGGGATTGAAAATTCAGCAATCAACTCTAATGTTTTGCAAAAAAATGTTATCATCTATTCCCATACGTAAAGCAGCTGGTCTGCTTCCTGTGGAAGAAATGTGCAGGTTGTTGTTGTGTTGTTTGACCTACTTGGTGAGCGACTTCCAATTGAAGATGAGGTTGAATAGAGCAGGACCCACAATGTATAATGGGCTTCCTGAAATCAATGACATCCATCAAACGCTTATGAGTAGTATAAAATACTCCTGTTGCAGCAAATCTGCAGACCAAGTGAATTTCCATTTGCCTGATTTGATTTTCACTTTAAAATCTATTTAATTAACATAGGTTAAAAAGTACCTAGATTGGCAAAAAACACAGGGAAGGCAAAAAATGCATGTTTTTAGTAAACTAAGAATAGTTTAGTGTAAAATAGAATAATTTGCCAAGTTTTATCGAAATATATCCATAAACAAGCAAACTACAGCAGTTTACTTATTTATTCTCCATGGGAATAACACAAGAATTTTAAAATAAAGATTTTTCAAATTTCCTCTGTAACCATTAACTGTACAAAAACACTTTAATGTCTTTAATAAACCTGAACTAAATTATTTGTTTTATTTAAGCTCTTTAAAAATGGTTTAGAGATAAACTCGGAAATTTTATTTTTTGAGGGTCAAAAATTATAAAAACCTACTTTCATTCCATAAAACCCACCACAAAACCCCGTCCCCATGGTAAATAATGCTGGTTCGCAAACTCGTTCAAATAAATTTAAGTTTACATTTTTGTACTAAATTTGATCAAATTCGGATGATTTTTGCTCAGGTTATTGTGCAAGGAAGACACATAGGGAAAAAGCTATTACCTAAGGTATCATCATAAAACCTTAGGTAATAGCTTATTCGCTAAGGGAAATTTGCTAAAACTATTCTTAGATAATTTATCTTTACTTTCTAGTACTGTAACTGTAATAAGCTAGTTCAAAATAGTTGTTCTAAAAATCGTATCAGTGATATGCTTGCAAATAAAGGCAACTTTATCTTGTAAAAAAAGTGAACAAAATTTCCAATCTTTCTATAAAAAAAACTCACTTGGTTTAGAAACAAATTATAAGTAGGCCTAAAAACAATGTTGTTTTAGAGTTGGAACCATCAATGAAGTACTGACAGATGACATGAAAAGTATAATGATATCTTACTCATCTGATGATGCGGTGGCTTACAATCTAGACTGTTCAACAGATTACATCTTGGTGCCTCAGCCTCTTTCCAGGCTTTGTAAGGACACTGAGCTGAAGATTTTGAGCTATGGTAAATTTGTTAAGAGGGAAGTATTTAGCAATGTTGTGCTATGAGGCTGGGAAGTTTTGTAAAACATAACTCATTGCACTGATTTCTGAAGGATGTTGCTTTAGTAGATCAGTGTACTTGATCTAGGAGGCAGTCTGTAAGTGGCAGGAATGTGGGATTTTTTCACGTTGTTTATATCTACACGTATGGCATTTATAACGGTTTTGTATGGAAGGGGTCCAAAGCCCGATCTTGTTAGGCCTACTATCGAAAGTCAACAAAATTTGCATTTAATGGCATCTGGGTCTGGAAACAGTCTAGCTAGGAATCGAACCAGCAACCTTCAGATTTGAAAGTTCTTAGCACTTGGCTACCTAGATAATCTTGGTATTCTTAGATAGGGCCTTGTGGGAAGTGCTGGTATCCTTTAGTCTTTGGTTCCAGGCAATAACATCTTTATTTTGGAGTTCTAAGATTCAGATTTCCTGAATGTACTACATATATTTAGGTTTATTGAGTGCTACACTCCCATATGTTTTTGAAAGTTTTGTGAAGAGAAGGTTGGGCGAGGCTTCTTGCATATCACAACTACCTACTGTTTATTTTTTTAATTGAAAAAAATGTACCATAACTAGCAAGATTGTGGTGTAATCCTTTAATTCTACACAACAATTGGTTATTGGTCATTTGTAGGAGGACCAGACGAGTATCTGGTGTTGAAGGAGAATGAGATAACATTTGATGGTGAGGAATGTGACAAAGCTGGAGTAAACTATGCTGCGTTCGCCCGACAACTGCATCGCTGTCAACAAGAGGCAGGGTCTTGTCTACACAATCAACCGCTACACTACTGGCGAAGGGACAAGGTTAGTGAAAGGGATGGGTGTAAACAGATGGTAATACTGTAAATTATCTTTACACGGAAGATGTCGCATAGCTGTCAAAATGACTGGGTTGGTACTATTTGTTATTGGGTGTCGGCACCCAGCAGTGTCAGCCATGACAGCAAGCTACCTCACGCACCACATCCCAGGGGAAAAAATAGCGGCCTACTCTTCCCCATCCCCCCCTCACTTCAGTCTAGGGGCAGCTTTCGTAAATTACTAGTCAATTAATTCTACACTGTGTTTCTTCTGGTGTTTTACCAGTCCATACAGTAAGACAGTGTGTGTATCCTCATGGATTGTAAACTAGTGTTGTTTTTCGATTAAATTATGAGTGACTATATAGTGATAATTAGTTATTATTGCAAAAACATTGTGTGCTAGACTTGGAATCTAACAAGCGACGGAGGATTGATAGACTTTTGTTGAGTTTTGAGAAAAAGAAGGATGTTGAACGTACAGTGAGGCCTGCAGGTTGCTTTTATAGCCATCTTGTCATTAAACACTCTACTGAGAGACTAAAATATGGTCACCGTTTCAAAGAAAAGTATTAAAAATGTTAAGTAAGTATAAATAATGAAGATGAAATTAAAGACATACAAGGTCTCCATTTTGTGTTATATTATGTTCAGAATGAGTACAAAATTTAACTATATTTAATTTACCTGTCTGTGCTGACTTGTTTATTGATTTTCCTTAACTGGGGAAGCGGGTTTTAATATCTACAAGACCACGGGATATAAACTGTGGTAAAATCAAAACTAATAACTTTATCGTGGTGTAAAACATTAATAATGCCAATTAAAAGTTTGACTCAGGGAAAAGTGTACAAGCAAATTATATATGAAAACAAACTTAAGAGCTAATGTGTCTTTAATATTTAAAGTGTGATAAAAAAAATGGCCCTTTTATTGAGCTTCGTGCCCTTAGGAGAGTATTATGGAAAAACTGAAAACTGATATTTTTCCACGAAGGTTTACATGAAGCACTTTTATTTAAGTATGCGGTTGATAAATGTTTGGCTTACACTTTTCTCAATAGTTCGTGATCCTTATTAGCTTTATATATAGATCCTGAGGTATATGTAAACGTAAATTTTGAAGCTTACCACAAAAAATATTTAAATACAATAATACAGCCATCTTCAAAAACTTTGTGAATTTCGTTTTTTTACATAATGTAAAAACAGAAGACAATAATATAAACTGGTAGGCCTGTGTCACACATTTTTTATTTATGTTTGGTTTGATTATGATGATGAACTTGTCTAGCCCTCTTCCTTGCACATTTTCTCATCAATAATATCATCATATTTTAATATCTTTGCCAAACCCAGTTCCATAAGTGACACCTTTTTTGTCTCACCTTCACATTACCTCAGCCTAGTCGCACAGATTAAATCCATTGGTTATCAGGCAGGATTTGAACCCAGGACCTCTACCACTAGACCAGCTCGCTCCTGTAAAAGGCAACCTTGGCTAGTAGGCTAGTTAAGTAAATCGTCTATTTTAGTAAAATTACTGTAGGAAATCAACAATAAGTAAAAATAAGCCATACAAAGAATTTAAAAAACGATTAGAAATCAAAATTTGCCTATAGGAAGCAGCCAAAGCTGGAAAATCTGGACATTATTTCCTGAAGAACTTCATTGAAGTGACAGACCAAGCCATTCTGCAGAACACCACAAGTAACCAAGTGGTGCTGAGAGCGCCTTACTTTAAGAGGTATCAGAGCCACGTGGTGATAGAGATGAATGCTGACCACATTGAGATTATTGGTGACAAGTAAGTATTTACCATGTGTTATGTTATGTGATTTCTACTGAAATGTCAAATATTTCATTAGCTGTTCTACTTAAGATTGTTTTTGTTTATTATGTAATGTTTACAGTTTTGTGTTAGGCCTAACCCTTTGGGTGCCAGAAATTTATTGGTACTTTCCGAAATGTGCCAGAGTTTTTTTACTAGGTATGTCTAAAAAAGTGCGAGGCTTTCCTGGGGGCGAAGCGTAGTGCGCAAGAAAAAAAATCGGTAAAAGTATAAATTTTCATCCCAAAAGTGCCATGGAACGATATATCGTGCCTCGTTCGTATGATAAATCGATTGAAATCATCGTTGTTTTATAATAACAACCGAGTCAACCGATATGCCCATTAAAACTCACATGATCGAAAGTCGCACCGGCTCAATATATCGTTGCAATGTATTTTTCGATAAGACTACCAACGACGATATATCGTTGTGAAGTATTTTTCAGATATGTTGTGCAAAACGATATATCGTTGCGTGGCACTCAAAAGGGTTAATTCTTTAAGCTAAAAATGTAGTAGATTTTTAAGTTGAATAAAACCATATTAATTTGATTTTTTTAAATTTCTTTTCATCACAATTTATTCAACTTAAACTTTTATTTATAGTATAACAAGTAACAAGTTCTTTTATAATACTAAATGGATAAATAATTCAAGCCTGAGTGTCTATCTTTGGACCCTAATGACCCTCATTCTGATCCTCAGTAGAAACATTGGAAAACCACTTTTGAGAATTTCATAGAAGAAATGTGCTGCAGAAAATGCCAACTAAAACTTATAACTAATTATGTGGACTACAACATACATGAAATGAAATAATCTCAGAAGCTGATTCCTATACCAAAGCTATATCTTGACAAACTTTTTATAAAGCCTACTAACGAGATGTATTCACGTCATCAACTGGCCACTAGAAGACAGTAATCTGGAGAAAATATTGATCAGTATCTTCGAAAACTCAAAGAACTTAGTAAAACATGCAATTTTAAGTCTGTCACTGCTAATGAAAATCTTAATGATTACATAAGAGACACTTTCATTCAAGGATTAATATCACAATCCATTCGACAAAGACTACTTGAAAATCTAACTTTGGCTTATAATCAAGCCATTACCTTGGAATCAGCTGAAAATCTGGTGGTTTCATATATTTCAAGCTCTTGTAACTCTATATCTCAGTCTACTCCTAAAAATGTTGATGTTACTGATACCAATGTTTCTCAGGCAGCTTCTGATTCGTCTTCACACCAATTATCCTCGTTGAGAAGAGGCAAATGTTTCTTTTGTGTTCTTTTCAAATGAGGCAAAATTCTGATCTTTTTCTGCGGCCATGTGGACATTATCATTGTCTTCTGTGATCGCGGCAATATTCTGATCAAACCTAGAGCGGCTCTGTAGATATCATCATCATCTTCTTCTATTGCAGCAAAATTCTTGCAGTTTTCCGCAGTCAGGTGGACATTATCATCGTCTTCCGTGATCGCGGCAATATTCTGATCATACCTAGCGGCTCTGTAGATATTATCATCATCTTCTTCTGTGATCCTGAAAAATTCTGATCATTCCTCGCGGCCGTGTGTAGACATATTATCGTCTTCCGCGGTCACGGAAACGTCACTGTTGTCATGCGCAATTGCTGTAAATTGAAAATTCCAGGTAAAAAAAATTCACGCATAATTCTCGGTTAAAAAAAGCTGACGCATAATACCCGGATTTCCCGGTCGGTGGACTCTCTATAATGTTTTTGTGAAAGATTTGTATTTCACTAAATAATATAGGCCTATGTTTGAAAACTAAAAAAGAGAGCTATTTTTCAGGTCTGAAGGTCAAATAACAGAAGTTTATGCTGATGCTACATCAGAGAAAGTAACGATAGTGAAAGCTGTTGTGACCAACCTCGGTATTGCATCAGATTATTTTGGAGTGGATTTTTCAAACTGCACATCTCGTCTCGGACCGTCAGACTTTGATAAGCCAGGCAAGGATGAGATCCCACCCCAACATCGCATCACTTACACCGCCATGATATCCTCCCCTCTCAAAAACAGGAGGGTCGATTGTAAAAGTAGGTAGTATTTAAATTAATAACCTAGGTTTTAGGTTAATTAGGTGTTTAATTAATTAAGGTGTCTATCTGATAGACACCTGATTGACCCATGCAGGTAAAGTATGTGGTATCTCTACAAGAACTGAAACTGAATATTGAATAAGAGGTTAATCTACCTTAATTTCGTCTATCGATCCTTTACTTCTTCTAAGGGCGGATGGCAATCTATTCAGCGACTATCGGCTTCTTCAGATCCTTGTCAAAACATCAATCTTATCTTATAGTGAGGTAATCAAAACATTAAATACTTAGACACAAACATTTAGACAAAACATAAAAATAAATATTTGACTACTACCTGTGGCCACATTAAGGCACTTGGTTCAGGTACCTAGGTTAGCGTTCTAGCCTCTAATCTTGGTTGGGGGTTTGGGGTGGTTGAATCGTACCCCCCTGGTATTTTTCTCCCCTCAGGTTAGTGACGTCACAATGACGTCTCATTTCCTCGAACCAAAGCGGTGTGTACAGGCCGGAAGTGTACCCCCTCATAAAACTTACAATATGCACGAGTGATTTGATTAAATCCATCCGCATTTAAAAAACTATACGGGCCGGAATCGTACCCTCTCTAGTTATAACTCACGCTTATTTGGTCAATGTAGGTGGTGGAATTGTACCCCTGTCAGTGAAGTCCTTCTAGGACCGGAATTGTACACCCCTGGAATTGTACCCCCCTGGAATTGTACCTTCGCCTATTGACTCAGACCTCTTCATACACTGAAATTGAAATGGACGAGGTAGCAGGGAGCAATCTATAATATTTAATAGGCCAACATGAATTTTGTGATAATTGTTTTGAAGCTGCCATGCATCTGATGAAATTGTTTAAGGTGTCATTGGATAGGTCGTGACATGTAGATTTGCCATCAATCAAAAAATGTTTGAAATTTCATCAGGGCTCTGCCCCAGTGGCCTTCACAATGTTAACATTGTCTCACTCACTCCAGATTTGCAACGTGAAGGCACGAAATAGTGAGCGTGCAACATGCAGGCAAGGTCGTATGCGCGCGAAATACGTTATTGGCAGCACTGGCTGTAAATCAGCTGGTCAGCTGTTGTACTGTTACATCATTAAAAATGTCGTATCAAAAGTTCACTTCTGTGTAAAAAATATGTTACGTTTCTTTACCAATTTATTTGTTTTATGGTAACTGTAGGAAAAATATAATGTGCAACTCGAGTGCAAAGTGCAATTGCCTCACTCGAGAAACAATTCCTCACTCGCCTACGGCTCATGAGTAAGTATTTCTCTCAAGTGAGTCAATTGCTCACTTTGCTCACTAGTTGCACAAATAACTATTGTTTTACTGAAACTAAATAACATTATATTGTTTAATCGATTCTTCTTGATCAATCGAGTGGAGAGTACCAATATTGAAGGGACAATAATATTTCATCCAATTGTATCTATTTTAAGGGATTGATGGCACCTGAATTCTTCTGTATGATAATTTATGATAGGTGCACAAGAATAATAATCAGAAGTTATTAATATTGGTTTAAAAAAGGTTTTTCATCTAAAAAAAAAAGAATTATTTGATTATATTGAATGGGTGGGTCCTAAAAATTCTGGAAAATGCCATTGTTGTGTTTAACAGGAATCTTGATATGTCGTCAGACTTATTAAGGAGTGACTGTAGGTAAAGGAATGACTTTTGCTTTGAAAAATATGTGGAAAAAATGTGCAAAAAAATGATAGGTGCCTTCACGAAATTAGCAGGACAGGCCAAAGCCAATAGAGGCATGACTGGGAAGCATTTGATGACTCTGTACAAAGGGTGTTTGAGCCAGCAATGCTTTACGGCTGTGAGTTTGGGGGTAAAGATGCTAGAAAATAAAATTGAAAAGAAAACTTTTGAGTGTGCAAAGAAGAGTTTTGTTGAAAGTGGGGAAATCAATGAAACCATACAACACAGTACCCCATGATACAATTAGGGTTTTGACCGGAGCCATACAACTCAACTTGCTCATTGAAGAAAGGCTTAGGATTTTACAAGACAAGGCCGTGGGTAGGACTACATCGGAAAGCAAGAGTGCATGGAGAGAGGAGACATCAGATAAGTGGCAAATGCGCTGGGAGCAGATAAGAAAGAAAGGGAAACGTTCGGATACATGCCAATCATGAGAAGACTGGAACAAGATTGGGAGATGGGCCATTATTGAACGCTGTTTGTCACAGGACATACAAAAATTTCAAGGCGAATATGTAGAGATTTAACTTGGTAGAACCCAAGTAGCAGAAAAACGAGAGAAAAAATTGTTTTGATATCAATTTTAAACTTATATTAAAACCGTTATTAATATGAGTATAGTTGACAACTGGCACATTTTAAAATTGTTTAAAAATTGTTTTAACTATATTGCAACACTTTTAAACAATTAAAAAACTGTTTTTACAACAATTTTACAATTGACTTTACAACAATTTAAAAATTGTTTTCACATATCCCCATGGGATGGTTGGTCCCATCCCATGGGATGGTTGGTCCCATCCCATGGGGATATCCTACATAAAACACAAAATAATAAAGTTTTTGTATGAAATGCATATTTATCAGTTGAGTATTTTGGTTAAATAGTTCATAAAAACAAATTTTGATAAAAAATAGAATCAAAGTACATTTCTTTCCCCGGCGGGTCTTGAACCCCAGACCTCCAGTTTATGAACCCCTTACCTTACCTTACCTCTGAGCTATATGTGATTGTTGATATTTGATGTTTTCAATTGGTCAAAGAGGAGCCGACAGTTGCAATGAATACTTTAAATATTTTTGTTACTATGATTATGTTTAGGCATCAAGTTGTTGAATTGTTTTGGGAGTTGAGGAGGATACCGGCATTTGAATATAGATGAATTAATTAACATTACTAATGTTATTATAATTATTGTTATATGATAATTTCATCTTTCCCCTTAAATTGTTCAATTACTAAAAATTTACTCAAATAAGTTAAAAGAAATAAAACAAAAAAAAAGAGTAAATATCAGTTGTTATGAACTTACAGTCGGGACCACGAAAGTTTGCAGTTGGCGGCAGCCAATCACAAGACCAGGCTAGTGCGACGTTGCCATATCGCCCATTTACGACATTAATTAAAATAATAAACAATATTTTCAAATCAGCTGGTATTATTAGATTTGGCAACACCGCTCTGTTGGCTCCTCCACTCATTGGCTCCTTCCTCAACTGCAAACTTTCGTGGTCCCGACTTTAGTTGTAAATTTTGATTGTGTGCATGAATCAAAAGTTTGTATCAATTGTTTAATCGATTGTAGCTTATTCTTGCCTTCTTGTAAATAGTTTGATATATTGATAGTAATTTTCAGTTCATGAACATTTTCTTTCCAACAATCTAGCCTACTACTTTGGTGCGAGGCACCCGCAAAATGCCACTCACCGGGCTAGTAACGTTATGTTATATACTAATATTATCTTGTTATCTGTTACATTGTATAGGATTAAAATATGGCTAATTACGACATTTCAAAATTGACGTAGGGCTTTTTATCTGAATTTTTGAAGTTTTAAGGTGAGTATGGGGTAAATTTTGTGAAAAAAGTTTTATTAAATAACAATAATTACAAAACAAACCAAGCAATCATGTAATTAGGTATCCATATGGTTCGAAGCGAAGTATAGTGGTGAACCGAAATCTTAAACCAATCTCTTCGAAATAATATTTCCTTTGAACAATCACTATTTTCTGTACATACAGCTTTAAAAATCGCTCGAACATGTCACTTTAGATTTCAACAATTCACTACTATTTCATTTTAATTATACCACTTAAGTTCATTGAAATACAATTAATTGAAGATGTTACTTACAGGGAGGGGGGGGGGGTACAATTCCAAACACCGTACACAAACCATGCTATCTTTCCAAGAAAGGGGTACAATTCCAGGGATTACTATTCCAGGGGGTACAATTCCGGGCCGTACATCTCCTGATCTTTTTAATTTCTAATATAATTATCCGGTTGACTGATCAATTGCCTACATTAAATAGATTAGATTCCGTTAAAGTGTACGGGATGAAATTGTACCTCCTCTAGGTGTGACGTCAACGATCAGCAGGGGTTACGAATCGATTCCAGGCTAAGTTTTCAATGCTTGCATGGATACAATTAATTTTAGTAACACATTTATATAAAATTGTGTAAACTGGGTCCATGTATGTTGAGTGGAAACTGGAGAGTGTAATATAACCATTAGAAAGACTAAAACACATACTGCTCAGACTTTCCCAATTCTTTAGACTGCCTTGCTACCCTCTCTCTGTCAGAGACTACAAATGTTGTTGTTTCAGTGGTGTTGTACAACCTGGACCATGAGGTGGTGGCCTCTCGCCAGATCATCATAGTCCAAGGCCAGCGCTGCATGTGTGTGTGGCACTGTCAGTGTGTGTGCTACAACCACCCTTCCCAGGGACTGCCTTGCTACCCTCTCTCTGTCAGTGACTACAACAACGCTGGCTTCCCGGGTCATCTGCCCGTCACTCTTGGATCAGACTGTTCAACACTGTTTACAGTTCTGCATGCACTACTTTGGTTTTTTGTATTTCTTCTTTTGTTTGGTGAGCTACTATCTTAGTAATTTTAATTTTACTCTCTTAAATTTAGGATACCCTCTGGGTTGTTTGTTTTGAGGTACATGTTAACATTTGTCTTGATAGACCATCATAAGCTTAGTGAACTATAGTTTCACATAATCTTACATTGCCTGTGCATTCATTTTTTAGGGGTTGTCCTGCAAACTAGACATTAAAAAACATGTTCAAACTCCAAAAGCAAGCAAGCAGGTTAGTGTTTGTCTAATCCATTGTTGCCATTAATGGAGGAAATTAAGGGAAGCTGGGGTGGTAGAACTGGGAGAAGAGGTAAATCTTAGAAACCTTTTCCCGTGCTAGAAAGCATAGAAAAATGGAGAATGCAGCAACCAGCTGACCTCTGTAAAGAATGAAACAGTCAGTAACAAATCATCTCACATCATTATACATTCATCCTTCACTCTTATTTATAGATTAAAATACACACTTAGGTGGCGTCTCCATCTCAATGATTGATAATTTTGATAGTTAACTGAAAGCACAAAAATATGTCAAATAACACTTATAATAATATATTTACACTTATATTGTTTAGTCACAAGACGGTAAATACATATAAAAGATGGTAAGTGATGATTATTTGACTGTTCTTAACTTGTATTAAATTTAATCTGATGTATTAGAAATATTAGATCATCAAAATGGCCTGTGATATAGATGTGGTTTGGCTCAGTAATTAATTTAAGTTTAATATTATTCACCTGAGAATGTCGCACGCATCAATAAATTGATTATATTGAGCCTCAACGATCCTTCTGAGCCCAGTACCGTTACTATTAATAATAGTACATGCTTCAACTACAGTATATGTTAAGGATTGTCTGATCAGGCACATAAGTTCAAAACCCAATCCTGGGGCTATCAAACTGAATCATAAGATAACTTCGTCGCAAAAACATACCGTGGTAATAAGGTATTGTGGGTATTTTGCCTGGTGATTTTCGTTGAAGGCAGCTTGGGAGGGGTGAGCATATGTTCATCCCCCCCCCCTCCCTCCTAGTCTACCCTATTTCGTGACTCTGTTATCAACATATATCTAATTTTGAAACAAGATACTTTTTGCCAAAGTATTATTCATGCCCTTAAAGTTGCTTGAATTCTTAAGCCCTGTAAAAATTTACGCTTTCTAATATATTGTACAGTAACAGTACTGTGTTAGAGTAGAGTAATGCGCCGAGTATATTGTTGAATGTTTTGAAGATGTTGTCAATTGAAATGCTAAAAACATGTTGTCTGACAATACGGATTCTGAATTGTAAATTGAAAAAGTTCCAATTTGTCCATTAGTTAGATATAATTCGGTTCCTATTGTTAAATTACGTTTTCAATTAAACATTTGATTTTTATTGTCAGCAAGTTCGATTTTCTTTACCTCAACCTTACTAAATACTTAAAATTTTCGTTTGATGTGGTAAGGGTAAATTGCCAAGAAAACTGACGGGGAGAGGTTTGAGTGGAGGGCAGAATAAATAGGGGGGAACTGCTCCTCTGGCTTGGGGAGGGGGAATTGCGCCTCTGGCTTTGGATGGGTACCTTCGATAAAACTTGTAAGGAAGTATTCAGTTGAAGTCAAGTTTGGGTGTACGAAATTTAAGTGTCAAATTTATTGTATTATGAACAGTGCACACGTTTCATAAGGAAATCTATGAGTTGACAAAAGTGTACTTTGTTTGCAGGTTTGACTTGAAAGTTTTTCTTATTATGGAGGTGTACTCTAAAATTTTTTTTAATATAAAAAATCAGTGATACATTTCTGAACTTAACTTTTAATATTGGTTATTATGAGATTGTGTTTGTAGGGCTTATCAAGGCTGTTTTGGGACTTTGCATCTCCAATGTTGCACTCTGGGGACTGTGGTATCTTCTGCCAGATGAAGCTAAGTGTCTTCAGGTCTACCAGGAGCCTCAGTATGCCTGCTGTCCCCTCGTACGAGACTGTGATGACTTCCCGATACATCCTTACTCCTACAAGAGATCTCAAGTTCACTTCTTACCCTGGTAAACACATTTGTTCATTAAAGTAGTATCATAGACAAAAAGAATGAAATATAGACTGTCAGCCGTGCTACGGTTGCCATGGTTACCATAGGTTCCGGCGCACACCGCTGTAGTTTACGTAGCGCGTACGCCGTAACTACCGTTGTGCTCCAAGCGGTGTGCGCCAGAACATATGGTAACCGCAGCACAGCTGACGGTCTATATTTAATTCTTTTGTCTATGGTACTATATACTTAATGTAGATGTAGGTATTTTATTTTTTTTTTACTATTCTTGAAATGTGGTTGGTTTGACCACATTTTCCCCTGTTATCAAATATTAGATATAACTGGTGCACATGTTGTTTTTAGCAATCTTAGCAAAATATTAAAAGCGATATTTCAAAACTAATAACAGTCACAATTTCCGATGCCTTAAAAGAGTCAACTCAAAGATAGTGTAATCAATCCTTCACTCCAGTTATCGAAACTGGAAACAAACTCACTCTGAAAACGAACGCTCACTCCACTCCAGTTATCGAAACTGAAAACAAACTCACTCTGGAAACAAACACTCTTGTGTGTATCATGTGTTTACTATGAACAGCTGTAATTAATACAAATTATTCGTCTGTTTAAGTAAACAAAATCTTTTCTTCATAAGAAATACATTGGGATTTTGATGGCCTGTGGGGCAAAGCCCAAAGGCTTTTATTACAGGATGTGGTGAAAGGGGGCGTTTACACAAAAAGTACTTAATTTTGACACCTCGTTTGTAAAAATCCGTCCATTATTAACGGAGGAGTAGTGTTTCGTAGAAATTGCCTTCACGTATTATATATAAGGATGTAAAAGTAGCCTGTCAGGAAAAAATTAAAAAGTTTCCAATGATTTGACGAGAGCCAACATACTGTTTGTTATTTTGAGCATATCCATTGATTTTTTAATAAATGTCTCTTTACTTTGCTACCAGTCTACTAAAAAATTGTTTAATAAATCAAGCTTTTAATTTTTATTTTGTTTCAGGTACTCCGAGTTCATAGTTAATGTGTTTTTCTTCATTTGTGTGTTCCGGAGCTGCATATGTGATTACGGTTTTCCCGGAGGCAATGCTGGTGGATATTACTATCGGGATTGTGGCTACACTAAACGCAGAGTATGTCATTCTTTCTAAGATCTCTCCAGGCTTACTATTCCCAGTGTCTTACAACAGTTAATACATATTATTAAATCCTTACCTATCTAGGTTATTTCCAGGAACTATACAGTCTTAATAATATTTTTATCATTATTTTCTTCTTTGTTAAATACTGTATAGAACCATGTATTTTTCAATTTAGTCAACTCAGAATTGAAACAATCAGAGTTCCTATCTAGAAACTTGAGGTTGCATCACTCAAGCTAGTTATCGGTAGTCAAAATGAACAAATTAAATATTAATAAGAGTAAAGGGCTATCAAAAGCTAAGTAATCAAAAAAATTTTGTTATAATGCCAAAGAAGTTTGCCGTTTTTTTTGTGTTATTTAATTTTGTATCAAACAAAACTGTTTGCAACGTAATAGCTTGCCTTTTTTTTTTAGATCTACAGTAGACACCCTCTTATCCGTACTCCTCGGGACCGAAGCCAGTACGGATAATGGTTTTTCCGGTTAAACCGACGTCCCCAAAAACTCGTTAAAACAGACCGTTTGAATGCATACTGTATAAGCCAATAATGTTTATTACTAGGGATAGACGAGATTGAAATTTTAGTTCGAGACGAGACGAGACGAGATTTTTTATTTCTCATAAAATTTCGAGACGAGATCGAGACGGGATTTCCCTTCTCATACACAACGGGAAATGCACGTTCAAAATTTTTACCTGATTTTGTAACATTGTTAGATGACTGTTTAAATACAAAAATAATGATAATAGGCAAGAATATTTACAATCTTTTATTAAAAAACATCAGCATAACATTTTTTTATTAATCACGCCTAACTTATTAAAAATGCCTACGATTAGGAAACATAGTGATATCAGTTAGGATAGAGTTCAACTTATCCTAAAATAAAATAAATCATAAAATAAAAGCAATATTAATTTTTATAAAATAGTTACTTGTTTTGACTTTTTATAGTAATAAAACATTCCTCACACTGCTTACACTTAACAAAACTTCTCAAATGTTATTAAAGTAATATTATTAAAATAATTAAAGTAATATTTACATTTATAGAATTAATTAAATAAGAACGCCTTCGCAAAGGAAACGCAACTACAACACGCTCCTGTATTGCGGGTATTGCATTGACTTTCTGCAGGCGTTTTTAATTTTTTTTTTTTTTTTTTTTAATTCTCGTCTCGATAAAAATCTCGGCCAAAAAGAAATCTCGTCTCGTGTAACGAGATTTAAAATTTCCCGAAAATTTCCCGAAATTTCGAGGCTTGACCATCCCTATTTATTACGTATTTAGACTGGTCTCAAATCTTTCCCACGAAAACAGTCGTTTCAGTACCGCCCACTTCCTGCCAATCTAGTCCGGTTAAACCGATGGGCTGATAAAAATTGTCCGGTTAAAGAGATGTCATTTCCGCCGAGTGTAGTCTGGTTAAAAGGTGTCCGGATAAGAGGTAGTCTACTGTATACTAAAAGATGAGCATGAACAGTGTGTTTTTCCGTTGATTAGCTTCAGTGTTTTTGCCTTTACAGGGAAGGAGCAAGTATTCACCAGGAAACTCCACTAGGCATGGATCTCCTTGTGCCTCAATATGTTCCAAAAGGGTGAGCAAGTTAAATGTCAACAAAATAAAGTATACTATTTGTCAATCAATTATCATTACTATGTGGTATAGTTATTTAGTTTACACGTATAAATATGGACTAAATGCTTTTAATAATATTCTAGAAAATAATTTTCCATTAATTAATTTACTTACTAAGTGCATCATATTGATACTTACCATTATCATGTAAGAAGACACATCACATCTTATAAATAGACGAGCTGCTTTGCCCATGCTTTGCCAAGGGGGGGGGAGTATGTGAAAGAGAATAATGTTGTTCTGCTGTTTGAAGTAGTTACACATCTATTATGATTCATAATGTGCCTCCAGTATTGATTAAACAACATAAATAAGGTTACTGACCTGTCGTCAATCAATCCTATTGTTTCTAGTGGATAGTTACAGGGTTTCAACCCCATTTTATAAATCCTTTTTCTTTTTGTCAAACATAGATTACTCAGCACTTGTTGTTGTCAAATTTTAAAATACTTCACTCATAACAAAGAAACCCACACAAAGAAACATTTACTTTACAATATTTACAAAATGCGAGGCCTACCAAGGACAAAACTAGCTATCCTCTCAAAACAATAGGATTAATTGATATTGATGCCAGGTCAGTAACCTTGTTTATCTATTATTTACTTTAGAAACAAAACACTACTTATTTACCACTTAGTGTAGTAAAATTCTTTTCTTTAAATTTAAATTCAGACTAGCTGTTACCCGTCGGCTTCACCCTATATAATTTTGTGTTTTATTACTACTAAGAACCCTCTGAAGGCTTAAATTGCCTTTTGCATTAATTTACTGTCTAAATCTTTAATTTACCATTAATTTACTGTATTTTACCAGGTGCGTCAAGAGTGGCACTGATGCATTAAAAAAATACTGTAACTCTATGATTTAGTTTTAAAAGATAATCTTATTTAAAAGCTTACACCTGCTTACTTTCAAAACTCTACTCATAACTTATTTCATGAAGAAAAATCAAAAGAATCCAACAACACAGCTGAGTGTGGCATAACATCCATTACTTTATATTGATGCTTCATGAAAAATATTATAATTCTTCAATTTTAGTGAAGCTTCTTTACCCCTAGCTTACAATATGAATTAATTACAAAGAAAACATTCAACAATATTCTACAAAACTTTCACTACATTTTTTAAATAAACATAACCCTCTACTAAATAACACACATCTTACTAATATTATAAATCTGAAAGTTTGTGAGTTTGTGTGTATGTTTGTGTGTGTGTTTGTGTGTGTGTTTGTGTGTGTGTTGCTCAATCACGCATAAACTACTGGACGGATTGGGCTACAAATTGGCATGATGATAGCTCACATTCCCGATTAACATTAAAGCATATTCTTATCTCAAAAATCCTTTCGGGCTCCGCCCCAGTGGTTCTGTAGTTCCCAATGTTAATCTCATGGGTATTCATATTTAAAGGGAATTAAAGAATTCAGTCAGCTGTTCCAACTAAAAAAAGGCTTTACATTATGCAACATAATCAGACATTCCAAATAGTTCATAAGGTTAACTTCAGAATGCAGCACTTAAAGGTAACGTTAATGCGATTTAAATATCCTAAAGAAATACAGCTGCCATTTTAGTTATTTGTTTATATTTTGGTTTTTTGTTTTTATTTTGGTTTACGCATCTAAATATCGACACGTCATTATGGATTCGATGTTAACTGCTGTTTTGAATTCAAGAAATACATCTTAAAATGCCGAAGAAACGTAAGTCAAATTTATCCCAAAGTTCGCGAAAAGCCAAGCGACAAGCAGCTCACAGATTAGCAGAAGCGCCAGAAGAACGTCAGCGTCGACTTGAGGAGAATGCTCAGCGACTGGCAGCTCACAGGTCAGCAGAAACACCAGAGGAACGTCAGCTTCGATTAAATGAGAATGCTCAGCGACTGGCAGCTCACAGAGCAGTAGAAACACAAGAGGAACGTCAGCTTCGACTATCAGATCAAGCCCACCGGCAGGCCAGCTTGAGAGTAGCTGAAACACCAGAAGAACTTCAGCTTCGACTAGAGGAGAATGCTGAGCGACTGGCAGCTCACAGATCAGCAGAAACACCAGAGGAACGTCAGCTTCGATTAAATGAGAATGCTCAGCGACTGGCAGCTCACAGAGCAGTAGAAACACAAGAGGAACGTCAGCTTCGACTATCAGATCAAGCCCACCGGCAGGCCAGCTTGAGAGTAGCTGAAACACCAGAAGAACTTCAGCTTCGACTAGAGGAGAATGCTGAGCGACTGGCAGCTCACAGATCAGCAGAAACACCAGAGGAACGTCAGCATCGATTAAATGAGAATGCTCAGCGACTGGCAGCTCACAGAGCAGAAGAAACACAAGAGGAACGTCAGCTTAGATTATCAGATCAAGCCCACCGGCAGGCCAGCTTGAGAGTAGCTGAAACACCAGAAGAACTTCAGCTTCGACTAGAGGAGAATGCTGAGCGACTGGCAGCTCACAGATCAGCAGAAACACCAGAGGAACGTCAGCTTCGATTAAATGAGAATGCTCAGCGACTGGCAGCTCACAGAGCAGTAGAAACACAAGAGGAACGTCAGCTTAGATTATCAGATCAAGCCCACCGGCAGGCCAGCTTGAGAGTAGCTGAAACGACGGAGCAGAATGAACGACGTAGACAACAACACGCTGTTCATATGGCATCCCAGCGAGCTACAGAAACTGCTGAGGAAGCTGAATTTCGCAGAAACGTTATTGCGGCAAGGGCTGCCCAACGGCGGCAAACGTTCCACAGGAATACGTGGGGCGTCTTTGAAAATGCTGCCTTAGAGTACGACCCAACTCTAGATTACAGTAGTCATGTTTTGATAAAAGTTGGGCGAATGGATACTGAATGTCGATACTGCAGAGCTTTAAAGTGGAAGGAGGAGCCTGTAGGGATGTGTTGTGCTGGTGGTAAGGTTGCTATTCATCGGCCACAAGAGCCAGTACAACCTATGAAAGAGCTATTCCTCGGTGAGACTAATGAGTCAAAGCGATTTTTGAAAAATATTAGGCGGTACAACACCTGCTTTCACATGACATCGTTTGGGGCAGATACAATAGTGAACATGCCTGGGTTTTCACCAACCTTTACAATTAAAGGGCAAGTCTACCACAAAATTGGGTCCCTACTTCCTGCACCAAATATGCAGCCAAACTTTTTGCAGATATATTTTTATGGAGATGAGGAAGCAGAAACTGATAGAAGATTTGAAATTGTACCAGGGGTTGAAAAACCAACGCTAAGAAAAGTACAGACAGTCCTTCATGAGCATAATAATTTAATCAAAGAGTTTAAAACTGCGATAGAGGTTATGCCGGATGAAAGCTGCAAATTAATAATCCACCCTGATCGCGTCCCTCATGGGCAGCATGAGAGACGATACAACTTACCCACCATAAACGAAGTGGCAGCCATTGTAGTGGGCAATGATCATTCTACAAGTAGAGACATTGTGTTGCACGCCCGCGATGACAAGCTATCCCGTGTCGCGGACACGCATAGGTTCTATGATGCCCTTCAGTATCCGATAATTTTCTGGAATGGCCAAGAAGGATACCACTTTGATATACCCCAAATTAACCCACTCACTAGACAGCCTTTGCCAAATAAAAAAGTGTCATGCATGGATTTTTATGCATTTCAAATCATGGTGTGTGCAAATGAATTCAATTTACTTCTGCGCTGCAATCAACTTTTACATCAATTTCTGGTTGATATGTATGTAAAAATAGAAAGCGAACGTTTGAGGTTTATCTCATTGAACCAGAAAAAGTTACGGGCTGAAAATTACATACACCTGCAGGATGCTGTAAGAAACGACAACAATGTGAATCCTAATGATTTAGGACAGATGGTGATTCTTCCGTCAACTTTTGTTAACAGCCCTCGATATCTTCACGAGTACACGCAAGATGCATTTGCTTATGTCCGTAACTATGGACGCCCGGACTTATTCATCACGTTTACGTGTAACCCCTCTTGGAATGAGATAACTGATGAACTCATGCCTGGTCAGAAAGCTACAGATCGCCACGACCTCATTGCCAGAGTTTTTGAATTGAAAGTGAAAAAACTTATATCTCTGCTCACGAAAGGTAAAGTATTTGGAGATTGCCAGTGCTTTATGTACTCAATAGAGTGGCAGAAGCGTGGCTTACCACACGTACATGTTTTACTGTGGCTTAAAGAAAAATTGCGTCTAAATCAAATGGATGACATAATTAGTGCTGAAATCCCAGATCCTGAAACCGACAAAAAACTGTATGACGCAGTTCTAAAACATATGATCCACGGACCATGTGGCAATTATAATACATCAGCTCCCTGTATGAAGGACAGTAAGTGCACAAAGACGTACCCTCGGGCGCTACTAGATGCCACTCAAACAAATGCGAATGGTTACCCTCTGTATAGACGTGCAGCGCCAGAGGATGGAGGACGCACAGCTACTATTCGAATACGTGGTGGAGAAGAAGTTGTAATAGATAACAGCTGGATTGTGCCATATAATCCCCTACTCCTTAAAATGTTTACTGCCCATGTGAATGTGGAGTATTGTGGCTCTGTACAGGCCATAAAATACATTTGCAAATATATTAACAAAGGGAATGATCAGGCAATATTTAATGTTAGGCAATCCGATAATGTGAACATTGATTCTAGGGATGAAGTGCAGAGTTTCAGAGCTGGACGTTACGTGAGCAGTAACGAAGCAGCGTGGCGTATATTGGGATTTCCAATGCACGAGAGATACCCCACTGTAACCCATCTCGCGGTGCACTTGCCCAATGGCGAGCGTGTCTTCTTCAATGATCAAAATCTCCACGACAGAATCGCTACTCCTCCTATGACGACTTTAACTGCATTCTTCCAACTTTGTCAAAATGATGAATTTTCAAAAACTTTGCTCTATGTTGAAGTACCACGTTATTATATCTGGAATGCATCGGCGAAAGAGTGGAAGCGCCGCAAACAAGGAAAGCCTGTTGAGAACTGGCCGGGAGTAAAAGCTGCAGACGCACTAGGTCGTATATATACCGTACATGTCAGCAACTTTGAGTGCTACTGCTTGCGCATGCTGCTTAATCAAGTACGGGGCCCATCAAGCTTCCACGATCTTAAAACAGTGGGTGGACAAGAACATGCTACATTTAGAAAAGCCTGTGAGGCACGTGGGCTTTTAGAAAGTGACGACCATTGGGACGCTACCATGGATGAAGCCGTGCTGTGCCGATCACCAGCTAAAGTCAGAGAGTTGTTTGCAGTTATAGTAAGTACTTGCGGTCTCTCAAATCCACTTCAACTGTGGGACAAGTACAAGGTTGCATTATCAGAAGATATAGCTCATAGACTCCAAGGTACGCACATAGAATTGATAGTTAATGAGGCTTTAAAGTTAATAGAGAACAAAATAACTAATTTATCAGGGATGAAAATGACAGACTTCGGTTTGCCCACTCCAGAACAAAGGGGAGAATTGTCAAGCGATGTTGTAAGAGAACTGAATTACGATGCCGTTGCCTTAGATATCTTTGTCCATGATATGGAGCCACGTTTGCTTCCCGAACAAAGGCACGTTTACGATGTAATTATACAGCATGTAAATAGTAGTAATGGGGGACTCTTCTTTCTGGACGCACCAGGGGGTACTGGTAAAACATTTGTGTTAAACCTACTGCTCGCCCGACTTCGCAAGGACCGGAACATAGCCCTGGCTGTGGCTTCCTCGGGAATCGCTGCAACGTTGTTGAACGGTGGACGGACAGCACATTCTACTTTTAAATTGCCATTAAATCTAGCAAGCCAAGAGACCCCTACATGCAACATAAGTAAAAATAGCAACCGCGGTGCTCTCCTGCAACAGTGCAAGTTAATTGTGTGGGACGAGTGCACTATGTCGCACAAGCACGCCTTAGAGGCTTTGAACTTCAGCCTGCAAGATATACGCAGCAACCAATCTCTAATGGGAGGTGTTGTAGTTCTGCTCGCTGGTGACTTCAGACAGACACTGCCCGTTATTGAGAGGGGGACACCGGTGGATGAGATGAATGCATGTCTAAAGGCGTCTCAACTGTGGTCCAAGGTAATAAAGCTCCAGCTTACATGTAACATGCGTGTCCAGCTTTTCAACGATTTGGAGTCAGGTGCCTATGCGTCTAAGCTTCTGAAAATAGGAGAGGGTCTCCTAAAAACAGACACAGATGGAAAAATCGAATTTACCAATGATTTTTGTCATCCAGTGACAACAGAGGATGAACTTATTGCTCACGTTTATCCAAACATACAAAGGAATATAAGCAACGAAGAATGGTTATGCGAGAGGGCAGTTCTATCTCCAACAAATGAGTCTGTCAACAACATCAACAAACATATATTGGCAATGTTAGCAGGGGAGTCAAGAATATACACGTCAATAGACACTGTGATGAGCAGTGACGACAGTCCCACTTACCCTGTAGAATTTCTAAACTCATTGGAACTAACAGGCGTGCCTTCCCATAAACTCGAGCTAAAAGTTGGCGTACCAGTTCTGCTGATGCGCAACCTTGATGCACCAAGATTGTGCAATGGCACTAGGCTTCGAGTCACAGAGCTAGGAAGAAACATAGTACATGCCACTATTCTGACTGGAACAGCTAAAGGAGAAAGCGTTTTGATTCCAAGAATCCCGATTATTCCTAATAATCTGCCATTCCAGTTTAGGAGGCTACAGTTCCCGATAAAGGTGGCATTTACGATGACAGTCAATAAGTCACAGGGACAAACGCTTAGAGTTGCAGGAATTCATTTGGGAACACCTTGCTTCTCACACGGTCAGCTATATGTCGGTTGTTCAAGAGTGTCAAGTCCCCAAAACCTGCATATACTGGCTGAGAATAACAAATCTTACAATGTTGTCTATAGGAATGTATTATTGTAATGAATTTACATCAATACAACATAGATTTTTCCAGTTTAAAAAGGTGTTGTTGTATTGTTATTGTTTTATCTGGAATTTGTTGATGAATTATTCTACAAATTAAAAATAGTTTTGTTAAATAAAGAGTTCAATTTGTTAATATTTATTTGGGTGATTACTTCTCTATTTAATTTAAGATGCTAAGTTTATTTAAGTACATAATATATGGAGTATATCAAGTTCGAATAGAAAAAATATAGGGAATGAGATGCTGGATCTAACAATAAGACAAAAAGGTTACGTCGAGCGAAGCCGGCGGGTAACAGCTAGTATTTTCATAATGCAAATAAAGCACCATAAACAACTCTTTCAATTAAATAAAACAACACCTGTTAATTGCATTGGCCAGATTTTTCATTTAATTAATTAAATAATTTAAACTTTAGAAGCATGTAAGCCCTTTGGTAATCGGCCTGTAGAGCAGAGCCCTTAGGAAATTCGTTCATACCAATACTTTATGGCAAATCTACACTTTAAGCTTCATTTTTATTTGCCATACGCTTATATTTTTATTTGGGAAGGCTTTCAACGATGACCAATAATTTGATTATATCTGTTTTAGCAAAATCGCCGGTTTAGAATGACCGCTGGAGCAGAAGAAGAGTTTTTAAACCCAGATCCTCAGTTAGTCAGAGGTAACCAAGTTTTAACTAAATTTTAGATTTTATTCTTACATATTTCTAACATAGGCTACTTGTATGTATGCCAATCAACCAACAAGCATGCTAGCCATTGTATACTTAAAGAAACTTATCTATCTCTTCAGCCTAGTCGCACAATTGCTTATCACTGCCACTAAAACTTTACAACCTCAACAACTCCCTCATACTCTAGATGAGGCATGGGCCAAGCACCTGGTGGCTGAGCTGACCCGGGCGTATGTAGTGTTCCGTGTGCTGACCCGACCTATGGGAGGGGTCAAGTCAGTCCCTGGGATCCCTTACTGTATACGAGGCTTTTTCCTGGAGTCGGACAATGGAGTCTACGAGTTCACTCCTCCCTCTCCACTGATGCAGGTAAGGTTATGTTTAACTTCTCAAACCATTGATACTGAATAAAAATGGAAGATGTGTTGTTTTCACAGATTTAGAAATTTGACTATGTATTTAAAATATACTGTAGTTTGAAAATCAACTGTTTATAGTGACCATTTAAACAAACGTAGAACTCTATGGCTGAACAAAATATCCATACAGAATTTTGTAAGATACAACTATATCCCAATTAATCAAGAAAAGTGCTAGTACCTTACCGTTCTTAGTAACATACCGTGCTATTAATTAACTAATTTTGAATGTAGATGAGTAGGGACATAATGAAGTATTTTAGTGTTCACTTCTTATAGTACCTACTACTACAGTGTCTCACCTATAAATACTAGTACCTTACTTAAGAGTGAAAACTTGATTTATTGTTAGCTGTTTTTTGTTTTGACTAGACCCAACGGGGTGGGGTGCAAGTCACATTGATGTCAGATGTAAAAACGTAATTTATTCTCCGTAAAAGAAGAACGAAAACGTATAACAATAATAAAACAGGGAGTGTGGTTGAGTGGGGTGCCATTCTGTTAGTTTTTATTATCTAAAACTTTACTTTCCATACTATGGATACTTAAAAGTCCAGAAGGAACACAAACCATACATAACACCTTAAAATAATAGTGAAATAATAATCTAAGCTAACTTTGACAAATCTAGTTTTTAGTGGGCTAAGGCTACCCTCTATGACCACTATTTATTTACAGTATACATTAGGATAAAGAATTTTAAACTTTTTACTTGTTAAAAATGGAAGACCAATCACTTTGATTGTACAAAAATATACCGTCCCACAAACTACTAGAACTTTCCCTTCAATTGTGTATGACCGTTGTTGTGTTGCAGATCTGGCAGATGGACGGGTCACCCCTGGACCCTCCTATGAGGCTGGACCCTGGTCCCTTCCACACTCTCTACCACAGTCCAGGGGAGGTACTGGCAGCTCACGAGCTCAGTCCCTGGGCCAAGGGGGTGGTTATCAATGCTCCTTAACAGATCAATCATGGGAAACTCTTCCCTCCAATATAGGAAACAATGTTGAATAATCCTTTGGAATTGTTGATTTAAAATCTACAGAGTAATGTTATTTTAACTGGAGCAGATTTTCAATTGAAGAGGAATTGTTTATGAATTCATGCTAATGAAAACATGTAACTTCTAATTGCTCTTAAGTAAACATTAAAAACAGTCTAAAGTAAACCATTTTGTTGTTCTTTTGAAATATTGGGCTAATTATCTATGTTTATGAAGCTCTATAATAAACAGAACTTTTTGTTCCTAGAAACCGTTTTAGGTCTTGAAATATTAATAGTGTTTTTGATTCTGGTTTGAAATTTCTATAAACCTATATCATATTAAAACTCAAAATCTCGTTGCTTATAGGAAATAATCTCTTGGTAGGCTTGTACCAGGTGCAAGGAATGAAACAAAATCCAATCCTAGTGAAGTGTTTGGTGAGAACATTGTGAGTGACGGAATGGTACGCAAGTGGGTGAGGGTTTTAAAGACGGCCACACCAGCGTTCATGGTGAGCAGCGCACTGGGCGGCCGCCGGCCATCTGTCATTACTGATGAATTGGTGCGTTGCTCATCATGAACGTTGGTGCAGCCAACTTTAAATGCCCTTACCCACTTGCGTACCATTCCGTCACACATAAAGTTCTCGCCATACACTTCGCACTAATTTGTCGATGAATTTCAATGGTTTTCACACCTTCAGCATTTAAAACTTTAATTACATAGTGCACTTCTCAGTCGGCGGCAGTCTCAATTGGCGCCATCATTTTGAATGCTCGAAACCGGATGTAAACACGTCCGATTTTTGTTGAATTTCCGGCACAGGCTTGCCAATAGATGCACAAACTTAGATTAACTTAAAAATGCCAATCGCAGCGCTGGAACGGAGAAATTTAAAAACGGTACTTAATTAAAAAACATGACTCGTAGATTATGTACATTGTGTTTAATAAGGACATACTCCTCTAATGTCTTTATTTACCAAAGCTCCCACTCAGGTCACATACCTACTCTTGTACCACATCGATGTCAGGTGTAAAACTGCAATTTATTCTTTGTAAAATTTTGTAATTTCTCTATTTTGTTATAAAACGTGTTGTAATATCGGGTTATTCATGTGCCTAATAAATGTTTCGTTAGTACACTCTCCTTTAGTGTCTTTCTTTATTCATTCCAAAGCTCACATTCATATCGGTCCCACGCAGCTAGCTACTCTCTAGTACAACATTTCTTGCAGACTCCTACAATCCAAAATTTTACCTGAAACCACGCTAGCACCTGAAAATGAGAGTACTGCTTCTAGACATAAGGTGGGTAAATATTGTGTTTCGGTGCTTAACTGTGTGAGCTATACGGGAAACCACCTCTTCTTCTGATTGGCAAGTCACAAAGGCCTGCATTTGAAGAAAACTTTCCCTCCATGGCCTCCAATATAAAAATAAAATCAAGGCTTGGATGACTGCTGCATTGAACACAGAGTGGGACAAGGACATATTTATTCTTGAAGTAAAAAATAACTAACAATCTGGAAAAGAGGGTTATTGGGGTGGGGAGATTTTTTATCTTTGACCATGTGCTAATTCATCCAGCTGAAGACAACAAAAGGCAATTTTTGAGGAAACTGTTAGTGATGGGCAAAGACGAGAAATTTCTGTACAGTAATCACAAGAAAAAATATGAAAGATTGCGCTTACATGATGGCAGAAGCCTGGAGCCTGGTAAAACGGTCATATTTAGATGTTTGTGGAAGTTGATGGGCACTGAAGAAGAGAAGGAGATAGATGTAGATGATTTGTCACTGGAGGAATTAAGAAACATTCTTCCAAGAATTCCTGCTTGATGCCCAGAAGCTAGTGCTGAAGATGAAGGAGAGAGGATGATGTGTCACTCATCAGACCATCGATATAAACTTTAAAGTGACAACTTATTGAACGTGTGAAATAAGAAATTGAAGAGGAAGAATAAGACAAGGAAGTTGAAGCAGATATTGAACCATTACATAATATAGTAATTACGAGTAAATCTTTTTTTGAGCATCAGTGTTTGTCAGCCTTAGAACAGCATTAACACGTTGAAAGCGGGCCGGTCACCGAGGACTTGCGCGCAGGCCAGCCCGGTCACTGGTGCTCGGCCAGGTTCCACAGGAATGAATCAGTCATTGTGGCGCAGTCTGGAGGAGTACATGGGAGTTATTGCGTGTGCCTTACTAGCATAACCTAACCTCTATTTTGTGTGTTTCGCCCGCCGATCCATCGGCCTGGCGCCGGTCACCTGTTACTTGTAAATTCCTCCTTAGAAATTTAATAACTACCCATTGATTTAGGTACTTCTTTTGTGTTTTTAAATTGTTATATGACAAAAATATTGTTTATTGTTTATTAGTTTTTTTCTGTAGTACTTGCCCAGACAAACCAAGATTATGCATAGGGAATTGTTTACCAGTTCCACGACACAGTTTGAGTGTAAAAAACAATGGATGGGAAGGAGGAAGGGACTGTATATAATTGTGCCATTTAACATTTTTAGTGTGTTTTTTTACATTTTTACTATATGATGTCATTGCGCGGGCCCTGCTAGGTCACCGCGGTCACCCGCGATTTTTCGGTAAAAAAAAGCTCATAACACCATTTCCGACCTGGATTCTCACTTCTGGGAACAAAAGGTCAGATTTTATGAAAAAAATGTCAGGCCTTGGGGAAGCACCCACTGGTATTTGCTCCACACTCAATGTGTTAAAGTGGATGGAGCGACAACCTGAGTGTGACCAGATGCAGCTTCTCACAGTGAAGTGGATGCTCAACCTGGCTGCATGAAAACGTTCCAAGACAGTCAAAAAAGTTACTTTGACAGAGATGTGTAGGTAGTAATTTAGTTTTAAGCATGCAAGTAGTTTTTTTTTTTCACTTTTACCTAAACAAGTCACAAGGTGACAAAAAAGTCTGAATCCGTTAGAAAATTCAAACCTTTCACATCAACTTGTATGTATGAAAACTACTTTTTGCAATCATTATAATTTTTTGACCTTCACCAGGGGATGACCAATGAAGAGTAGGTACATCTTTTTTGTAAGCATAAGTTTATATGGCTTTATAAAGCACTAGCTGTGCTCGCGGACTTTGCCCCGTTTAACTTCTTAATTTTCAAGATGACCTCGTTCGCATGGCTCAATCACGACCTGGTTGAAGTTCGTTCGCTACGCTCACTCACCTTTAGGTTGGAGCTCGTTCGCTGCGCTCACTTGACTTCAGGTAAGCTCGTTCGCTACGCTAACTCGCCTCCAGGTTGAAGTTCGTTCGCTACGCTCACTCACCTTTTGGTTGCAAATTAGCTGTTGTCATAAATTAAAAAAAATAATAGTGCTACACCCTGTTGGTAATCCTTGTAACTTTAATGCTATTGAACATCATAGAACAGAACCAACTTGTTTAATTGAAACAGCTGTTAAGATTCATTAATCTATATCTATAAAAGAGGAACTATGTATGTATATATATGTGTATATACGTTATGGACTCCGAAACCGCTCGACAGATTGTAATGAAACTTTCAGGCATTATTAAGCATCTTTCAAGAATGGTTCGAGTGAAGTTTGGTGCAGATCCGTCAAAAGGGCTCTGCCCCAGAGGGTTTTAAGTGGGCCAATGTCAGACTTTTTGATCTAGAATGTTTATAAATAAATATACAGTAATTTAAGAGCAGATGTTTACTTTCACCAACTGTTTTGTACGTTTGAATAACTACAACATTCTGTATTAGCATTAGTCATGATTTGAAATAGTGCCACAGTGTTTCTACAGATTGCAGCACAGAAAACTATTTTACTTTTGAATAAGTCCAAATGTATTAAACCCCAATTGCAGCACACCTGTGCACTTAACAACGTTTAAATTCTCCAATGTTAAATATTAAAACATAAAAACCTTTATAAAAGTACTGTATTATAAACAATAAAAGGAATGACTTTTTTAAATGTATGAAAACAGCTAATTTGCAACCAAAAGGTGAGTGAGCGTAGCGAACGAACATCAACCTGGAGGCGAGTAAGCGTAGCGAAAGAGCTAACCTGAAAACAAGTGAGCGCAGCGAACGATTTCCAATCTGAAGGTGAGTGAGCGTAGCGAACGAACGACAAAAAATATGTCGAAAGAGTGAAATAAAATAGCCAAAGCAATTACAAGAGATGAAATGTAACAAGTTGCTAGGTTGTACAACTGCATGGTGAAGCTCCAAGTCAGCCATTGAGCACTCAGTTAGAAAAGATATCTACAGTAATTTTTTAGTCATATATGGCCACAGCTGTTCAATCCATTCTTAATCTAAATCTCATTCTCATTGTATTTATTTACTTCGTGAATTCTGTCTTGTTCCTTTAAATATGAAAAATCATAAAGATAACATGAGAAACTCCAGAGCCACTGGGGCGGAGCCTGAAAGCCTGATCAGAATAAAAACTACTTAGTTTTCCTATTTAATGCCCAAAGAATCGGTGTACCAAATTTCAGCCTCCTAGGTAAATGGGAAGTGGGAGAATTAGTGATGAGTGAGTGAGTGAGTGTGTCAGTGAGTCAGTGAGGGCTTTGGCTTTTATATATTTGGATTTTAAAGGGCTGGTCAAGTGGAGTTCATTGCAAAAGTGGAAACCGCTTCTCAAAAGGTTCATCTGTTACAAAATGGCGTCTGTCCAAAGTTAATACCTGTCAATAATCTTAAATGTAAGCATATGTTAAAAAGATATTAAGCAGTTTCCAGACTTTTTTGTCACCCTGTATAGAACACTTAAAGTATGTGCATGATAACCTGGTGAAACTTTCTCTTTTTATTCCATATTAATTTTAAATTAAGTATTTTCTTTCAAATACCCCAAACTCTTATAAATATCCAAAAAGCTGAAACACTATAGAAAAGTGCTTCAAAAACATTGTATGCAACTTTTTAACTCCTATAAATATCTGTAGTTATAACACATTTTGGCAAAACTTTGGATTATTGCGATAAACTTTTGTTTAAAACTCATGTTGTAAACTCTAGCTGGTGTGGCTCTACAAAAAACTGGTTTCTGCTTTTACTATAGGAATCACAGGAAACAGATTAAGTTGGGCAGTTTTTCTGTTATGGTTTAGCTTTTAAACTTATAGCTATGTACATTTTAAACAGTCTATTTCTAAGTAACTTATGCAATTTTGGATATCAAATACCCAAATAATATTTTAATTTAATTAATAATTTTACTAACAAAATATAAATATTATTGGAAGCTTA